GTAGAGCTCAGGCAGTGATGCCTGCTCATTGGCTGCTCACCTCCTGCTGTGTGGCCCAGTTGCTAACAGGCAACGGACGGATACTGGTCTGCAGCCTGTGGTTCGGGACCCCTGCTCTAGATTATGGGGAAGCCGAAGTACTATTTTCTCATTGTAAAAACAGAATCCTACCTTTTACTTCCCACCTCCTCCTGTTAATGGAAGTTGGAATGGAGAAGGAAGGAGATGCCAGGGAAAGGAAGCATTTTAAAATCATTTGTAACATGTAACTCCAGGGTACTTCAGAGTTTTAAAGAATAAATAGGGAATAAATTTGTTTAATTACCTTTTTAGATCCAGGTTTAGGTGCCACTTGCAGGCCAAAATCTAATCTGGAAACCAAATGAGTTACAAAGTTTGGGTGCTTTTCTGTAAAAACAAGGAAGCAGTTTATTTGTATACTTTTGTGTCTTGTGCCATTCTGTTGGAAAAGGGCGGAGGAAATACATACTTTCATATGCTACAGGATAGCTCTGAGATGCAAAAGTATCTCTAATTGCTTAGGGGAGAAGGGTATTACTGGAAAGATGGGGTGGGTGACTTTTCGTAGTATAACCTTTGTGAGATTTTAGTACTTTACTGTATGCACATGATAACTATTCAAAAAAACAAGCCCGTTTTTTGGACCCTAGTTTACTGACTCCATATTCTTGTAACAGCAAAATTAGAATTCTTTTAAGTTAAAAAAAACTTTATCATAGGAATTTCCAAGCATGTCTTAAAATAGGATATCCCCAGCTTCAACACTAATGGCATTTTGCAGATTGAGAGGATAATAAAATGTAGCTGTAGTTTGGATACATGTATCCAAATATACTACATTTTGCAGATTGAGAGGATAATAAAATGTAGCTGTAGTTTGGATACTACATGTATCCAGATATACTACATGTATTTCAGATATGTCCTCTGAAAATACCTGCAAATTTATAGAGAATGTTGGGTATGTCCTTTGACTTTATCCGTGCTTAGTTCCATAGTCTATAATTCAGTTTCTGATTGGGCACAGTGGTTCATACCTGTAATCCCAACACTGGGAGGTCGAGGTGGGAGGATTGCTTGAGCCCAGGAGTTCGAGACCAGCCTGGGTAACGTAGGGAGAACCTGTCTCTAAAAAAAAAAAATTAGCCAGGCATGGTGGCGCCTGTAGTCTCAGGTACTGAGGAGGTTGAAGTAGGAAGATCACTTGATCCTGGAGGGTTGAGGCTTTAGTGGTACCACTGCACTCCAGCCTGGGCAACAAGGCGAGACCGTGTCTCAATAAATAAAGAATAAAAATACAGTTTCTGTGGTATAGTTTATATACCATCACACCTTTATAACTGACTGAGAATACTTTATGGTTAGTATGTGCTGTTTTGAAAATAAAACCTGTTTTAAAATGTGTTGCATTTTAAAAGTTTTAATCTATATTGATATTACTAGACATAGTTATATAGTTTGGCAACCCTGTTATATGTTCCTATTGTAAGGGTATACCTAAACCAGACTGGCAGTTAATGAGAGTGACTTGTCCTGTTATTGTGTGCTTTGGCATATTTCTCTTTTGAATATATAACAGGAAAATACGGGAAGAATTGCTGAGTGTTCTAAACATTCTCATTTGCAAGGAACATCAGTAAGGAAAACAATCTTACCTACCTTATTTGAAGAGGTGGAAGCAAATTTAACCTTCTGTTAGCCAGTAGGAATAGGTCTGTACTAAAAATACACCAATTAGCTGGGCATAGTGGTGCACACCTGTAGTCCCAGCTACTTGGGAGGCTGAGGCAGGAGAATCGCTTGAACTGGGGAGATAGAGGTTGCGGCGAGCCGAGATTGCGCCACTGCATTCCAGACTGGTGACAGAATGAGACTCAGTTTCAAAAAAAAAAACCTTGAAACTTTAGAATTATGTTCATGTTTGCTGGTGTTTTAACTCAAACAGGGACAGAAATCCTAGGGAAGTAACCCATATGACTGTTTTTCTAATAACTGCATTCATAGTAGAATAACACTACATTCACTAGTAGAGGTTGAGGGAGAGAGGAAAAGAAGGAATTACATGTTACAGGATACTTTTCTGTTTTTGTCTAGACTGAGGCTGAGGCGGGTGGACCACGAGGTCGGGAGATCGAGACCATCCTGGCCAACATGGTGAAACCCCATTTCTACTAAAATACAAAAAATTAGCTGGGTGCATTGGTGCACTCCTGTAGTTCCAGCTACTCAGGAGGCTGAGGCAGGAGAATCACTTGAACCCAGGAGACAGAGATTGCAGTGAGCTGAGATCGAGCCACTGTATTTCAGCCTGGTGACAGAGCAAGACTCCATCTCAAAAAAAAAAGTTTGTCACTTTTCTCCTGTTTAATTTTGCGTTTTTTGAATAAAGGATTTATGTCTTTTCCACATGGATTATTTTGAGTAGTACCAATACATTCCTGAAGGAGATCAAAAATATATATGCATAGCTCTCTTGGTAGCATGTGTTTGAGAAAGTAATATAAGGATTACATAGATTAGGGTTGCAGGCAGTTCTGTCCCTTTAAAGCCAGATCTTTTATTTACTTACTTTTTAAAGTTTTTGCAGAGATGGGGTCTCACTATGTTGCCCAGGCTGGTCTCAAACTCCTGGGCTCAAGTGATCCTCTCGTCTCAGCCTCCTGAAGTGCTGAGATTATAGGTGTGAACCAAGGTGCCAGGCCAAATCTTTGGTTTTTTTCCTACAAGTAAAACACCCTGAGGCTGAAGGTAATTGCTAACTGATGCAACCTGTTTTTCTTACTGCTTTTTTTCTGGGGATCTAACAAGGAATTGGAAACACAAGTTTTTGACTTTCGTTTTTCCTCCTCTTTATTTTCTGATAGTGTTTTCTTAAAGTCATCTTCCACCTGCCTCTGAAGTTGAGGAGTAGGAAGGAATCTGTTAGAATCATTTGGGGTTCAGTTAGTAGTGTCTGTGGTTAACTTTCTTTCGTGGTTTTGAATTTAATTTCACTATTTGACTAACACTATTTTTACTCCGACTTCCTCAAACACTGTGGGACTTAAACTGTGACAGGTGAAACTCAGTGCCTTAGGTGAAGGCTTGGTAGAGACTTAGAAACATAGAATTCTTACAGGGTAGCTTAGGATTCTTACAGGATAACTTAATTGCTTTTAGGTTTATAGCTTTATGAACTTTATGAGCCCACTGGAATATTTTCTCCAATTATTGGAAAGACTGATTATCAATTAAACTTAACGAGTCTAAGGACCCTCTACTCAGAAAAATAGATGTGAGATCCTGTCTCAAAAGAAAAGTTAAAGTCAGGAAGAAGTTAAAATTAATGGTTTATAAGCCTTTACTATAAGTAAATGTAAGTTACATACTTTGAAGCTATTGTATTTGCCTTGCATTACAGCATATACTTGAACTTGTAAAGCAGGTTAATCTTCTACATTATTACGATGTTTGTATTAATGGTTAGACAGTTGTTTGACTCCTTGCCCCTGTATTCAGTAACTGAGTTACTGTAACTACACTTTATAACTGAGTTACAACATTTATAACTCAATACCAGCAGTAATTGAGATAGAAGAGTGAAGAGAAAGTAAAATGTAGCCTTGTAGTCTTATAACTTATTCAGAGCCTGGCCTGGTTATGTTTAAGCACTATTAGCAGAAGAGTTTGACAAAAGAATTTAAATAAAATACAGTTAACTTGGCTGGTTTAGTCCATAAGATAATAGTGACAGTGGTGGTGTCTGTGGAGGGAAACTGTATTGCTAGAGGACAAGGGTGACAGAAAGACTTGATTTTTTTTTCCCCATGCTTTTTCTTTTCTGGGGTGGGGGTGTGTGTGTGTGTGTGTGTGTGTGTGTGTGTGTGTGTGTGTTTTGTACCATGTGAATTTATTATATTATCCTTGGAGGAAAGGGGGATAAAACTAGTCTGGCCAAGGCTAATAAAATAAAGCCTCCATTGTAGCTTCTTTTAGTAGGACTTAATCTGTTATACCATAGTTAGTCACCCAGAGTATTAATAACCCACTCTGGTAGAGATTTCCTCCTAGTAACTGGTGACTTTTGTTCTTACATGCTTAATTGGTTTGCAAAGACCTACCATCTTTAGATCCTCTGTATTTGTTTAGCAGATACTTCAGTATTTTCTGAGTACACAAAGCAAATCTAATTCCATTATTTTCCTTGTTAAAATCCTTAAGTAGCTCCCTTTGCCTGTAGAATAAACTCAGGATTCTTACTGAGGTATGTTTAGCTTGTCAGTCTGGCCCTTGCTCATCTCTCTAACCTTAATTCTGTACTCCCTCAAGTCGATAGTGTTAGAAAAGTACTTGTAGTTCCCATAGCCAACCACACTTTTACATCTCTGTGCTTTACCACATGCGCTTTCTATTGAGAATTATCTCGCCTGCCTCCCTTGAACACATTGCTTTAGCTGTGTAGCCTTTGACAAGATCCCTCTTACATATCTTTGTTTTGGCACTTTTTGCACAGAATTAGAACTTGTTTGCTCTTGCTATTCAAGTTCCTTTATTTAGATCAAGAACTCTGTGACATTTTAAATCTTTTTATGCTTGTAACTTAATTTTTCAGATTCTTGAAGCGTGAACAAATAACAGCTACATGTTGAGGGGGGTAAGAGAGGACTGGTCCAATAGTTCCAAGGTCTTAAAATAAATCAAGAAACTCAATTACCTCAAATCGCTTGAACCATGAGTGCTGCCTTGCAGATATTGCTCTTTCCTTTAACTTCATCTGTATTTGTTCTACCTCTTATTTGAAACAATTGAATGCCATATTTGTTGGAAGAAGAGAAGGTCCAATACTTGGCTATTAATAGTCTCACTTTAATTAACATAATGTAGATGTTATTGTGACCTTGAAGCATTAATGTTAAGTGAGGATTTGTGTTGATGAGCATATATGAATGTCAACTCTTTGGAATACACTTGGTAACATGGTTTATTATTATATTTTCTAGCTCCAGAACCTGGGTATCAACCCAGCAAACATTGGCTTCAGTACCCTGACTATGGAGTCTGACAAATTCATCTGCATTAGAGAAAAAGTAGGAGAGCAGGCCCAGGTGGTAATCATTGATATGAATGACCCAAGTAATCCAATTCGAAGACCAATTTCAGCAGACAGCGCCATCATGAATCCAGCTAGCAAAGTAATTGCACTGAAAGGTATAAAAAATTGTCGGTTTTTCTTAAAACTCTTCCTGTTTGTTTTTTTGTTTGTTTGTTTTTTGTTTTTTTTTGAGACGGAGTTTTACTCTTGTCGCCCAGGCTGGAGTGCAATGGTGCAATCTTGGCTCACTGCAACCTCCGCCTCCCAGGTTCACGTGATTCTCTTGCCTCAGCCTCCCGAGTAGCTGGAATTACAGATGCCTGCCACCACCACTGGCTAGTTTTTTTGTATTTTTAGTAGAGATGAGGTTTCACTATTTTGGCCAGGCTACTCTCAAACTCCTGACCTCATGATCTGCCTGCCTCGGCCTCCCAGAGTGCTGAGATTACAGGCGTGAGCCACCACGCCCAGCCAACTCTTCCTATGTGTTTATGCAAGTGCAATAACTAGAGTTTACGTTTTTAAGTATAGTGATTAAATTTGGTTAAAGAAAATTGATCTGCTGATACCGAACTTGATTTAAACCACTTTAATGACTTTTACTTGGAATGTATCTGTGGAATATCTTAACATAGATCTACTTAGAATAATTTTAAGTTTTAGAATAAATGCATTTATATTTTGTATCTGGTATAAGACTGTGCTAAACATATCTCTCTACAGAGGAAACAAATTAGTGATTCATATTCTGGAATAGAACATACTTTACTAATATTAGCACCTAAACATGGCAGAATTTTGTACGATAATAAACTTGCCTTTGATTCTGTGCTTTTTTTTGTACTTCAGGCTTGTGTTTCACTTAGATTATTGGGTTCTAGAAAGGGCTTGAATTTACTTGTTTAAAGTGTGTTTGTATTTAGGTGGATATTAAAGCTCTTGAGTGAAGCGTATTTGAGTTTATTCAGACTAACTTTTTAATTGTCCCAACAAGGGAACTGTGCAGCTTAGAATAAACAGAGTTCAAAGACTCTTAGACTGTCAGGGAGCCTGTATTCCTTTGAACTTTAGGATGAGACTAATTGACCCGTTAAAACAGATGTTTTTAAGAGGGCTCGGTGAAAAACTGACTCTTAAAAAGGCATTTGATTGCCTATTTTTTGCTTTGTTTCTCATTTTGATAGAAGGAAGAAAAGTTCAAGTTCCCAGTAATTTCTGAGTTGTTAGAGGTGCCGAACTTTGACTTTGCTTTACATGATTTAAACTTTGTATGTAGTAATAATACTAGATGGAGAGTAAATGGGGTTGGGTAGGACTAGCGTATTCAAACACATAAGTCACTATCACATATCTAAGATAGAAGCTCACCTCATCTCGAGGAAAAATTGTCCAGCTTTCACATGGGACCAGATGTTTTGTGACAGTAAGTGTTTTACTTCTGTTACTTCTATTTAGGGTATTAAGCTTCCTTCAGACTCTTTAAAGAATTTAAATTCAGGTCCTTAGCAGTTCCCATACCTCTCTGTTAAAAGGCCATAATTTTAATTTTGCCAAAATTCTTTTCTATTTTTAATGTTATTGTTATCTTATCACATTTCTTAACGCTTTCTTATGTGTGCAGATGGTGAGTTATCTTAAATTAGATTGTGTTAGTTATTGTCCTGTTCTATGAAAAGAATAAATTGAAAATATTTTCGGAGCATTGTACAATAGCATCATAGATTTGTCCCTATATGTCTGCACTATGGAGTCAAGCTGTCATCTCTTGTCCCCCTCTCCAAACCACTACACTTATATATATACTCCAATCCCGAATAATCTGGGGATTGAGGAAGGCAGCAAAGGAAAGTTAGTCAGTCCAAAATCCTGCTTCCCTCTGAAGCCAGTTTTGAACCTCTTGGCTTCTTTTTATAAACAGGACTGTAACTCTCACAATTTTTCAAGTCTGGTTGTGGTTTACATACTGTGTGGGATGGGAATAACATTCTTCATTTTATGAAAGAAATTTTTGCACATGTGGTAAGGAGGGTTGTAGTACAAAGCTGTATGTTTTGCCCCCCTTCTGTGTCGCCCCAGCACCTGAATCTTAAAATTTCGGTCCTTCAGGAGCCAGATTCTCTGTGTCTCAGGAATGGTGTTTTTCTTAGTCTTTAAAGACTAATCTTGATAGCCTAGTGATAGTTGTGGACTTTGGCCTCTATTAATTTATACCAAATCACATTTTGAACTGATGGATTTCAAATTACAAGTACAAGCCTTTGCATCTGACTTGGTGACTCTTAACACTCAAGGCAAATTTCATCCTTTTTTTTTTTTAACTAAATCCTTGCTTTCTTAGTTGGATGAAGCTTGAACTTTGTTCTTACCTCCAGTATATTAACAGCATCTGAAACTATCCTCTTCCTTTGTCTCCCTTTCCTTTCCTCCAGCACCTCTACCTTCCCTTTGTTATCTTAAGGCAGTTAAATGTAGCATGCACTTCTTTTATGTGCTAGTGGCAACAAGACAGAATTGAAGCAGATCCTCTTTGTAAAAAGCAGTTTCCACAAGATTTATTTGGATGAGAGATGACTGCTTTTAAAAAAGTACATTTTCTTTCCCCTACGTGTTTGTTATCAGAGTTGCTTTGTCTTGTGTCGATGCAACTAAGTTTATGTGTAAACATACTTAATTACAAGTATGAAGTTAACGGCTTTGTTTTCAATTATTGTTAAGAAAACTATTCATTAGACTTACTTTAAGTTGGGATTTAGAATTCCATGGAAGTCATACTATCTGTTTAAAGTGTGTTTATTAGAGGTAATACAGTTTTTGCTTAAAATGTAGATGTAGATTGCTTAGTCTTAGCTGTTACCTCTTTAATGGTTGCTGCTGTATTGCTGCAACTCCTGTAGTTATTAGTCTCGTAATAGAAATATTTTTGTTTGGAAGTTACAGAGCTAGTCTAGGTAGGTATTCATTCTCAACTTTACGCTTTTAATGATTTATAATTCTTGATTTTGTTTTTAGCTGGGAAAACTCTTCAGATTTTTAACATTGAAATGAAAAGTAAAATGAAGGCTCATACTATGACTGATGATGTCACCTTTTGGAAATGGATCTCTTTGAATACGGTTGCTCTTGTTACGGATAATGCAGTTTATCACTGGAGTATGGAAGGAGAGTCTCAGCCAGTGAAAATGTTTGATCGCCATTCTAGCCTTGCAGGGTGCCAGATTATCAATTACCGTACAGATGCAAAACAAAAGTGGTTACTTCTGACTGGTATATCTGCACAGGTAACATTTTAACTAGTTTTTTATAAAGAAGAGGTTTAGAAAACTGTGGTGCCCAGAATGCAGTTTTATTTTGAGATTAGGTCTTTCTATACTCAATCCTGTTGAATTTCACTTATTTTGGAAGACCTTGTTTTTCCTCCCTCACACCTCTTCTCTTCTCCCTCCTCCCTCCTCCCTCCTTCCCTCCTTTCTTCCTTCCTCGCTCCCTTGCTATACTGACATATAATTTCAGAATGCTCTTATCAAGCGTTTTGAGCTCTTCTGTGGAGATTGAGTAGAAATTGAGTTTCTGTAAGAATGATTTGGGATTTATTATGGAGTATTTACTGCAAAATGAATGCTTCTGTACCTTTTTGTTTAAGATGTATATGAGGCACATTTTAAACATTAATGTTAAGCTTTAACAAGATAATGTTTGGGGCTGATTTTAAGTTAAGAAGTATCAAACCTATATTGAGAGATGAAGTCACAAATAATTATAAATCCTGCTAAAGATGACAAAGCATTCTAGTTATTTCATTACTTGATGAATCTGAGAGTTTTTGGTTTATGGGTCTCCAAACATTATTCTCTTTGATCCTTTATAGCAAAATCGTGTGGTGGGAGCTATGCAGCTATATTCTGTAGATAGGAAAGTGTCTCAGCCCATTGAAGGACATGCAGCTAGCTTCGCACAGTTTAAGATGGAAGGAAATGCAGAAGAATCAACATTATTTTGTTTTGCAGTACGGGGCCAAGCTGGAGGGAAGGTAAGTTTTGACTTTGGTAATTATTTTAATGAGAACTTGTATTTGACTTTCTGCTACAAATTAGTCATCTAATTTCAAAATAGCCTTCTCCTTTCCTAAGTAATTTATTTTTAGTATTCACATTTGTGGTGACTTAATTTGTTCAAATTTTGCATCTAGTGATACTTGTCTAAAATGAATAATGTTCTTTCACAACTCGTTCTATTGGCTGTTTATATTCTTTATTTTGATTGCCAAAGTGCACATTTATATGCTGTACATCTAGAGAGTTTGATTTAGTAGGTGGTGCCCATAGTGTTTTTTTGTTTATTTTTTGCTTTTTGAGACAGGGTGTCACTGCTGCCTAGGCTGGAGTGCAGTAGCGCAGTCATGGGCTCACTGCAGCCTTGACCTTCTGGGCTCAAGTGATACCTCTGTCTCAGCCTCCCAAGTAGCTGGGACTACAGGCACGTGCCACCATGCCTGGCTAAATTTGGTGTTTTTGTAGAGACAGGGTCTCACTATATTGCCCAGGCTGGTCTCAAACCTCTGGGTCCAAGTGATCCTCCCACCTTGGTCTCCTAGTATAATCTGCATTTTAAATACCCTATATGGCTTGATATAGAGGTAATGTAGACTATAGTTGAATAACATTGCCATAAGTTAGTGGTTTTCAGCGGTGGCTACACATTGGAATCACCTGGACAAATTGTAGTACTTTGTATATTAGACTTAGTTGCAGGTAATAGAAACAAGGTCTGGTTGATTGGAGCAATGGTCTGTTTAGTGAAGGATATTGGATAGTTTACAACAGCTAGGGAGGCTGTAAAACCAAGACTAGGAAATGAGGAGAAATAATGGAAAATTAGCAGTGGTCAGGGTCTCAGCCAACAACTATTCCATGGAACTCTGAGGACACTTCTGGATCCATGATTGCATTGCTGGATGCTTGGAAATTCGATTTGACTGCCATTTCCACTACCAGAGTAGAATCTCTGAAATCCTAATACCTTTGTGTTCCTAGCTCCCTGTTCGAAGTCCAGTTATAGGCAAGATCAGATGCCCACATCTTACGTCTGAGAGGTTTGGAAATAATTATTTGGTGTTTGGTGCTCCTAAAACAGAAGGCTGGTTCTACTACCAACAAAACTTGTAAAGAGTATCTTCCCTCTTGTTGTCCCATCAGGAAGAGGGTTTAGATTCTAGGCAGACCAAAAAATTTGAACTTCACTTTCGTTAGGACATGTGTCTCTTTTTCTTGGTAAGTAAGCAATTTTTAAAAATTGAAATAGAGATTGCTTAAATTTGATCATCTGTAGCCTGTCAGGAGAGAGGAAATAGTAAGTAATGAGATACAATTCTGCTTAAAATTTCACATAGCCCCTGAATTGAGGAATAATGCTGCCAATACCTCAATGTGACAAGGTTAGAAAGCACTGATATTTAGATCTGAATTGATGGAATTTAAACAGAAAAAAACACATAGTTTTAGAAATTAGATATTATCCTTAAAACATAAGGCCAGGATATTTATTGAAAAGTTCTACTAGAAAAAAGTTTCAATGTCATTTTGAACAGTATCTGGAAACCTGTTTATAGGTTATTGAGCCTGTTATTTATTACATGGTGCTATCCTGTCTGCCACGGCTTTTGAAGGAAGATACCAATTTTTTTCAGTGTGGCTAGTCATCCTAATGAAGGATGCTGAGACCCTATAACATTCATATGGTATGTGTCTTGGATACTGAATTATTTTTTGTCTGAGTTCATTTCTGACATGACTAAGGAAAATATATAGTACTTTTTCATTGAGATTATTTACTTTTCTCTTGCCTGGCTTACGTGCAGCATTGGATATTTTAAACCAAAATGTTCTCATTTAGTTTATGGGATGTTTGTGATTAGAGAGACAACTCAAATTAGGTATATACATTCCTTCTGTTTTAGTGTATATGTATAGGTAGAGAAGAATTAAACAACTTACGTTTCTATTTGGAAATACTAAATTAAAACATTGAAAGCTAGGAGAAAAATACCTTTGTAGGTAATGTATTACCCTTCTATACCATTTATTTCAGGTAGATTATTTAAGGTATGATTATTTCAGATATTCAGCTGACCTTTTTTTTTGAGATGGAGTCTCGCTGTGTTGCCCAGGCTGGAATGCAGTGGCACAATCCCGGCTTCCTGCAACCTCCACCTCCCGGGTTCAAGCGATTCTCCTGCCTCAGCCTCCTGAGTATCAGCTGACTTTAAAAAATGTATTTATCTTAAAATAATACAGATTATAGGAAGCTGCAAAGACAGTACAGAGCAGTTCCCTGGGTTCTTTATCCAGTTTCTCCCAATGGCTACATCTTACACAGCTGTAGTACAGTAGAAAAACCAGGAAATTGACATTGGTACAATTGTATGATTCTGTGTCATTTTATCATGAGTAGGTAACTATTTTATCACCACAGTGATTTCCCTTATGACTGTAGAGTCCCACCCACTCCCCCTCTCTCACACCATCCCTAGCTCCTGGCAACCACTAATTTATTCTCTATCTCTATAATGTTGTCACTTTAGGAATGTTACATAAATGGAATCATACAGTATGTGACCTTTTAAGATTGGCTTCTTTTTTTTACTCACCATAATGTTCATGAAAGTTTGTTCCTTTTTCTTACCAAGTATTCCATGGTATGGATGTAACCAAAACCATTTAACATTGATCTTCTGTAGAACATGTTGGTTGTTTCCATTTGGGGGCTACAAATAAAGCTTCTGTGATCAACTGCTAATGTGTAGGTTTATATACATTTTGATTTTCTTTTGAACAGTTACATATTATTGAAGTTGGCACACCACCTACAGGGAACCAGCCCTTTCCAAAGAAGGCAGTGGATGTTTTCTTTCCTCCAGAAGCACAAAATGATTTTCCTGTTGCAATGCAGGTATTTTAAGCAATATAAATAACTTTTTAAAAATCTCTCCTCTTAAAAGAAATTAACCCAAAGACTATTCATGGTAGATATAATTTAAGTGATGCTTAAAAGAATACTCTTACAAAGTTTATTAGTGAAGCTTTGTAAAATAATACCTTGGCCTTTCATGTACAGGCCTACCTTGGGCATATTATGAGGTTTGGTTCCAGACGACCACAATAAATTAAATACCACAACAAAGTGAGTCATAAGAATTATTTGGTTTCCCAGTGCAGATCAAAGTTACACTTACACTATGCTATAGTCTACTGTAAAGTGTGAAATAGCATATCTCTAGAAAAACCGTATACATACTATAATTTAAAAATACTTTATTGCTAAAAAATGTTAATGATTATTTGAGCCTTTAGTGAGTTTTAATCTTTTTGCTTGCGGAAAGTCTTGTCTCAGTGTCAGTGACTGCTGAATAATCAGAGTGGTTGAGGTGGCTGTGGCAGTTTCTTAAAATAAGACAGCAGAGAAGTTTGCTGCATCAGTGGACTCTTTCACAAAAGATTTCTCTATGCAATGCTGTTTGATAGCATTTTACCCACAGTAGATCTTCTTTCAAAATTGGAGTCAGTTCTTTAACCCTGCCAGTGCTTTACTAGCTAAGTTTCTGTAATAATCTAAATGCTTTGTTGTCATTCAGCAATGTTCACAGCACCTTCACCAGCAGTAGATTTTATCTCAAGAAACCACTTTTCTTTGCTCATCCTTAAGAAACAGCTCCTTTACTAGGAAATACAGTAATTCAGTCACATTTTTAGGCTCTATTTCTAATTCTGGTTTTCTTGCTATTTCTACCACATCTGCCCGTATGTGCTGCACTGAAGTCTTGAACCCCTCAATCATCTATGAAGGTTGGAATCAGCCTCTTCCAAACTCCTTTTAATGTTGATGTTTTGACTTCCTCCCATGAATCATGAATGTTGTTAATGACATCTAGAATGATGAATCCTTTCCAGATTCACCATTACTTGAAAGTACTGTGGTGAATCCTTTCCAGATTCACTTAAATTTACTTTGCCCAGATCCATCAGACGAATCACTATCCAGGGCAGCTGTGGTCTTATGAAATATATTTCTTAAATAAGAAGACTTGTAAGTCAAAATTGCTTCTTTGATTCATAGGCTTCAGAATGGATGCTGTCTTAGCAGACATGAAAGCAATATTAATCTCCTTGTATATCTCCATCAGAGCTCTTGGGTGACTATGTGCATTGTCGATGAGCAGTAATATTTTGAAAGGAATCTTTTTTTTTCTGAGCAGTAGGTCTGAACAGCAGGCATAAAATATTTAGTAAACCATGCTGTAAACAGATGTGCTGTCATCAGGGCTTTGCTGTTCCATTTCTATAGCATAGGCAAAGTAGATTTAGCATAATTCTTGAAGGTCCTAGGATTTTTGGAATAGCAGATGAGCATTGGCTTCAACTTAAAGTCACCAGCGTCATTAGTTCCTAATAAGAGAGTCAGCCTGTCCATTAAAGCCAGGCATTGACTTCTCTGTAGAGAAAATCTGTTGTTTAGTGTGACCGCCTTCAATGATCTTTGCTAGATCTTCCATATAACTTGCTGCAGCTTCTACATCAGTACTTGGTTTTCACCTTACACTTTTATATTGTACAGATAGTTTATTTGCTTAAACCTCACGAATCAACTTCTGCTACCTTCAAATTTTTCTTCTGTTGTTTTCTCACCTCTCTGAGCCTTCACAGAATTGAGGAAAGTTAGGGCCTTACACTAGATTAGGTTTTGGCTTAAGAGAATGCTGTAGCTGGTTTGAATTTTTTTTTTTTTTTTTTTTGAGGAGCCTCCTTCTGTTGCCCAGGCTGGAGTGCAGTGGCAGGATCTCGGCTCACTGCAAGCTCCACCTCCCGGGTTCATGCCATTCTCCTGCCTCAGCCTCATGAGTAGCTGGGACTACAGGCGCCCACCACCACGCCGGGCTAATTTTTTTGTATTTTTTCAAAATACAAAATATGGGGTTTCACTGTGTTAGCCAGGATGGTGTCGATCTCCTGACCTCGTGATCCGCCTGCCTCAGCCTCCCGAAGTGCGCAGGATTACAGGCCTGAGCCACCGCGCTTGGCCTATCTTTTTTCGTTCCTTTCCCTTTCCCTTTCCCTTCCTTTCCTTCTCTTCTCTTCTTTTCTTTTTCTTTTTCTTTTTTTTTTGAGACGGAGTCTCACTCTGTGCCCAGGCTGGAGTGCAGTGGTGCGATCTCAGCTCACCTCCGCCTCCCGCGTTCACGCCATTCTCCTGCCTCAGCTTCCCGAGTAGCTGGGACTACGGGTGCCCACCACTACACCCGGCTAATTTTTTGTATTTTTTGTAGAGACGGGGTTTCACCGTGTTAGCCAGGATGGTCTTGATCTCCTGACTTCGTGATCCACCCACCTTGGCCTCCCAAAGTGCTGGGATTATAGGCGTGAGCCACTGCGCAGGACCTCCTCCCTCTCTCTCCCACTCTCCCCCTCTCCCCCTCCCTCTCCCTCTTTAAAGAGACAGGGTCTCCCTCTGTTGCCCCTGCTGGAATGCAGTTGGTGTGATCATAGCTCACTGCAGCCTTGAACTTGAACTCCTGGGCTCAATTGATCCTCTTGCCTCAGCCTCCAGAGTAGCTAGGAGTAGGTAGGACTACAGGTACATACCACTACGCCTGGCTATTTAAAAAGTATTTTAGAGACAATGTTTCACTGTGTTGCCCTGGCTGGTCTTTTTCTTTTTTTTTTTTTTTTTATGAGACTGAGTCTCTCTATTGCCCAGACTGGAGTGCAGTGGCACAGTCTCAGCTCACTGCAATCTCTGCCTCCTGGATTCAAGCGATTCTCATGCCTCAGCCTCCCGAGTAGCTGAGATTACAGGCACCTGCCACCACACCTGGCTAATTTTTGTATTTGTAGTAGAGTCAGGGTTTCGCCATGTTGGTCAGGCTGGTCTCGAACTCCTGACCTCAAGTGATCTGCCCACCTCGACCTCCCACATTGCTGGGATCACAGGCGTAAGCCACCATGCCTGGCCCAGGCTGGTCTTAAACTCCTGGCCTTAAGTGATCCTTGTGCTTCAGCCTCCTGTGTAGCTGGGACTACAGAAACATACCACTGCACCTGGCTAGTATATAACATTTTTATTTGTATTTTTGTTTGAGACAGGGTCTCACTCTGTCACCCAGGTTGGAGTGCAATGGCGCGATCTCATGCACCACTACACCTGGGTAATTTTTTTGTATTTTTAGTAGAGTCAGGGCTTCACCATATTGGTCAGGCTGGTCTCGAACTCCTCCCCTCAAGTGATCCACCCACCTCAGCCTCCCAAAGTGCTGAGATTACAGGCATGAGCCACTGCACCCAGCTGTGTATAACATTTTTCTTTTAGAGACGGAGTCTCACTCTGTTGCCCAGACTGGAGTGCAGTGGCACCATCTCGGCTCACTGCAACCTCCGCCTCCAGGGTCAAGCAGTTCTCCTGTTTCAGCCTCCCCGGTAGCTGGGACTACAGGTGCATGCTGCCATGCCCGGCTAATTTCTTTTGTATTTTAGTAGAGACGGAATTTCACTCTGTTGCCCAGGCTGGTCTCAAACTCCTGAGCTCAGGCAATCCACCCACCTTGGCCTCCCAAAGTGCTAGGATTACAGGCATGAGCCACTGCACCTGGCCTATGACATTTTAAAAGAGAAAAAAAAACTGCTCATATATATAGTTACATAAATTCAAAAGTAGAATCGTTTTATTTCTCTTTGGCCTGCAAAACATTACCTCAATGTGGCAAGTACTAGAGTTTGACTTTGTCTGTGGTCGTTTTCTTAGATGTGAGAAAATGAGACTAGGATTACATTTGTAAGCCACTGCACCAGTGCGCTTTCTCCATATCAGCAAGAAAAGCTGTTAGGTTTTCTTATCATTCATGTGTTCACTGCAGTAGCATTTTTAATTTCCTTCAAGAACTTTTGCTTTGTATTCACAACTTGGCTGGGTCAAAAAGCCCACCATTCAGCCTGTCTTGGCTTTGGACGTGTCTTTCTCACTGAGCTTAAAATTACTTCTAGCTTTTGATTTAAAATGAGATGTAGAACATGTAGAGGCAATTGTAGGGTTATTAATTGGCCTAATTTCATTATTGTTGTGTCTCGGAATAGGGAGGCCCAAGGAAAGAGAAAGAAATGGGAGAACAGCTGGTTGCTGGAGCAGTCAGAACACACACAATATTTATCGGTTAAGTTTGCTGTCTTATGTGGGTGCGATTCATCGCACCCTAAAATAATTACAATAGTAACATCAAAGATCACTGGTCACAGATCAACATAACAGATATAATAATGAAAAGGTTTGAAATATTGTGAGAATTAATGAAAACGTGACACAGAGACACCGAAGAGAGCACATGCCGTTGGAAAATAGTGCCCATAGGCTTGCTCGATGCAGGGTTGCCATAAACCTTCAATTCGTAAAGATTCATCTGCATTGCAAAGTGCGGTAAAATGAGGTATGCCTGTAATACATAAACTGTGCTATCCTAAGTTTTGAATTGTCTTTCCTTTTATCAGTTTCATTCATATTCTTGTGTTATATAAGAGCTTGGAATATCCATATTTAAATGTGCTATAAAAATGAAGGAAACTTTAAATATTAGCTTACAATTTTTCAAATAACCCTCTTGTTCTAGAATTTTACCATCTCTGAAATGGAATTAGACTGAATGTTTTTATTTTCTGTTTATAGATTCATTATTTCACTGAAGTGTTGATTTTCTTTCTATAGATCAGTGAAAAGCATGATGTGGTATTCTTGATAACCAAGTATGGTTATATCCACCTCTATGATCTTGAGACTGGTACCTGCATCTACATGAATAGAATCAGTGGAGAAACGATTTTTGTTACTGCACCTCATGAAGCCACAGCTGGAATAATTGGAGTAAACAGAAAGGGACAAGTAAGGAAACCTTGAAACTTAAGCAATAAAATAAGATAACCTGATGAGTTGGGAACAATCCTGTACTTTTGAGAAATTACTCCCAAAAATAATAAAATAGAAAATAAACACATTACTGTTAGTTTTTTTCCAAAAAGTAAATGGTAACTTTGGATATTAGAAAATAAGATATATCAAAGCATGATGTAAGCTGATAAAAAAGGAAAATAATATATACCTAAAAATAGAGATGTGTATGAATACAAAGTGTGTCTTTAATCCTGTTTCAGAGAAACTGGTTTATAGCCATCTTGGACTGTATAGATGCATTACTGTCAAAAGAAGTGATTCTCCATGGAAAAAAACAATTTAGGGTCATATTTGACAGACTATTCTTTTTAAGGAGTTTTCTGTTATCTCTCCAAGGCAGAGCGATTATCAACTAAAGGGAAAAGAATTCTACCTACATCCGTTTTCCTAGCTCTTTAATTAAGCATTACTATTACATGTTAAAAGGTGATATGTTTCAATACCTCTTGTGGGATGCCTGGAAAGTTAATCAATTTGGTAGGAAAAATATTATCCATTCTAAATTTGTCATTTTTGAAAAACCTGTTAATACCATCTAGCAAGCGGTTCTTTCTCTGTCATCATATTATTTTAATTTCTTTTTTTTTTTTTTTTTTCTTGAGACGGAGTCTCGCTCTGTCACCCAGGTTAGAGTGCAGTGGCATGATCTCAGCTCACTACAACCTCCACTTCCCGGGGTTAAGCAATTCTCCTGCCTCAGCCTTCCGAGTAACTACGATTACAGGTGTGAGTCACCGCACCCAGCTAATTTCTGTATTTTGAGTGGAGACGGGGTTTCACCATGTTGGCCAGGCGGGTCTCAAACTCCTGACCTTGTGATCCACCCGCCTCGGCCTACCAAAGTGCTGGGATTACAGGCGTGAGTCACAGCACACGGCCTATTTTAATATGAATAAGAATATTTTACCAGGAGGTATCTTAATTTTCTGAAAAGTGGCTAAAAATTTTAAAACTTAATACTGTTACTGGTCTTGCCTTTTGGTCTTGCCTTTTACTCGTTTTCTTCCAAATTAGTATTTTTCCCAGATAATAAGCAAAGGAAGTAGGTGGGTTTTGTTTCTCCTTCATTCAGTTAATTTTTGAAAAATGTTACGTATATGAAGAGACAGTCCCTCTAGGGAAAGGGAGTCCATCCCTACCTACCCATGCCCCACCTTAACTCCAGACCTGGTTAGGTGCTTCTGCTCTGTACTCCTAGAACTTAACTTACAGCTTTCTCCTCATAACACTTAACATACTTACTAAAATTGCCTGCTTAGCTGTCACAGTCACCATTCTTCATTAGAAAAACGGATTGTCTTTAGTAAATTTTATTTCTAGCACCAGTCAGTGTCTGGGACAAAAGCAGTTTTAAAAATTCAGTAGCTTTCAAGTATTTAGTTGTGAGTCTCTCTCTTAGAAAAATCAAGAATAAGGCTAGGCGCAGTGGCTCATACCTGTAATCCCAGCCCTTTGGGAGGGCGACGTGGGCAGATTGCCTGAGCTCAGGAGTTCGAGACCAGCCTGGCCAACATGGTGAAAACCCGTCTCTACTAAAATACAAAAACTTAACTGGCTATGATGGTGCATATCTGTAATCCTAGCTACTTGGGAGGCTGAGGCAAGAGAATCACTTGAACTTGGGAGGCAGAAGTTACAAAAAATGAGCCAAGATCACGCCACTGCACTCCAGCCTGGACGACAGAGCAAGACTCTGTCTCAAAAAAGAAATTAAAAAGGAAAATCAAGAATATATTGGCCTTTTTTGGTGAATTAGATTAGTGATAATTTAATAATCATGAAGTTGTGAAGCCAGGGACCTGTTTTTAAAAAAATTCTTAATTTAAAAAAAAAAAAAAAAAAAAAAAAGACAGGGGCCGGGCACAGTATCTCACGCCTGTAATCCCAGTACTTTGGGAGGCCAAGATGGGTGGATCACCTGGGGTCAGGAGTTTGAGACGAGCCTGACCAATATGGTGAAACCTGTCTCTTTAAGTACGAAAAAAAATTAGCCGGGCGTGGTGGCAGGTACATGTAGTCCCAGCTACTTGGGAGATTGAGACAGGAGAATTGCTTGAAGCCAGGAGGCAGAGGTTGCTGTGAGCCAAGATCGTGCCACTGCACTCCAGCCTGGGCGACAGAGCAAGACTCCGTCTCAAAAAGCAAGACTTTGTCTCAAAAAAAGAGAGAGAGAGAGAGAGACACGGTCTTGCTATGTTGCCCAGGCTGGTCTTGAACTCCTGGGCTCAAGCGATGCTCCTGCCTTGGCCTCCCAAAGTGCTAGGATTACAGGCATGAGCCACCATGCCTGGCCCCTTTTTGTTTCTGCTGTTGTGCAGTTTTAAGATAGTGCTTAACCTAAAGTACCTTAAACAATTTCATGATACATTCTTGGTGTTCATAACTCTAATTCTGGGAACTTGTTGATTGTTACTTTCCCTTCCTCCCAAATTTTATGTGCCAGCTACTTTGAGTAAAGAGGTATTTACAGTAACATTAGGGCTTTCTTTTAGTCTTCGCTAAAGTGTACTAACTCGGCGTATTCCCTGAAGGGATGAGTATGTGGCTTCTATCGGTTGAAAAAGCAAAATCAAGTAAAGTGATGTTATAGTCAACATCTGACTTAAATTCTGAATTTGATTCTGAGTACTTTAGAAGACACTGGAACCTGGAACCTTTTCTGTTCCCTGTAGGAGATCTTATTAAGTACTGGTTGCTAGAAATCTGCTAAAACAGTCTTTATGATAAGGATGAAACTGTGGATTCAGTATTTGGGGAAACCTAAGGCAGCAATCAATAGGAAGCTTCAGAAAATGTAATTGGAACTGGATTTTCTGTTTATCTTTCTCATTCTTTATAGGAGGTAAGATTTAAGTTAAGGTTGGGGCTCAGAAATGCAAATAACTGTAAAGAAAGTAATTATTACTTCCTTTAAATAAGCCTTGAGGATGGAGGTCGGACCTATAGAAATAAAATCTTGGAGGTTAAAATTTCTTAATTTTCCCTGAAAGGAGTAGTAGAATAGGCAGGGCAAACTGTTACCTATCTATTTGGTTCACTGAGTTCTCAAGTATTTTTCAATTCTTATTGATTTGGGAACAGCCATTTCCTATATTCGTTTATTCAACAAATTAAATGTGTTTTATGCTACACTAATTGCATATTGCTAGTAATACAGTTAAACAAAGAGAAGCCCCTTTTCCTCATGTGAACAGTGACTGAGAAACAATTATACAATTATATTAGGTTGAGAAGTGCTGTTATGGGTAATATGAGTAGTTTATAAGCTAGGGCATATGACTAGTTCTGCACTGGGGAAAGGGATGGATGGGTAGAGAAGGACTCCCTTTCTCTATGGCAGTTGACAGTCGTTCAGCTTTTGGGGCAAGCCAGAAAGTATTCTGTGGCATTGAGTGTTAAGGAAGTTTGAGGGTAGGTAACTTTTGCAAACAAGCAATTAGAAATTGGCCTTTACTGATATTATTATTTTTATTTATTTATTTATTTATTTTGAGACTCCCTCTGTTGCCCAGGCTGGAGTACAGTGGCGCCATCTTGACTTACTGAAACCTCCGCCTCCTGGGTTCAAGCGATTCTCCTGCCTCAGCCTCCCTAGTAGGTGGGACTACAGGCGCATGTCACCACGCCCGGCTATTTTTTGTATTTTTATTAGTAGAGGTGGGGTTTCACCATGTTGGCCAGGCTGGTCTTAAACTCCTGACCTTGTGATCCACCTGCCTCGGCCTCCCAAAGTGCTGGGATTACAGGCGTGAGCCCCTGTACCTGGCCTATTTTTCAAGCACCTACCATATTCCTTGCATTATGTTAGCTGCTTGAGGATTCAGTGGTCCCTCCCTTCATTGAGTATATAATCTGGTCTCTAGGAATGCAAATGTAATTAACAAAAATTACTGTAAAGTTCTTGTAAAAAAAATCCTAAAATTAGAAGGAATATACCTTAAACAACTTGCAAGTGAACCTTAAATGTCATTTAGATATCATAGCTTCTTCAATGTCATTTTCTGTAGGTTATCAAGATTGATGTCCTCAGGAAGTTTTAAATTATGTGGAGTTGTCTTTCAGAGCTCAATTAAGTGGGAATGTTAATCTTTGATACTGACTATGTTAAGAATGAATAGATGGTATCAAAGCAAGTTAGTTTGGACAATGAAGAAAGAAGTTATTTAGATTATAGAATAGCCATATTTTAGGAACCACATAATGGCCTAGCACCCTGTGATACTTGTTTTCAAATCTCCTTAATTTTTTTTCTCCTTGTCTTCCTTCCTTCCTTTCTTTTATTATTTTTTAATGGCAGCAAGAAAACAGCTGTCACAATTTCATTACCTTTGTGACTCAGTATTAACCTGTTCTAAATAGACTTGGTATCATTTGTATCAAAATGAACACATTGCAGCTATATTTTATTCTTTAAATTGCAGGTTCTGTCAGTGTGTGTGGAAGAAGAAAACATAATTCCTTACATCACCAATGTTCTACAAAATCCTGATTTGGCTCTGAGAATGGCTGTACGTAACAACTTAGCCGGTGCTGAAGAACTCTTTGCCCGGAAATTTAATGCTCTTTTTGCCCAGGGAAATTACTCAGAGGCAGCAAAGGTGGCTGCTAATGCACCAAAGGTAAAGCGTTATGAAAATGAAGTTGTCATGACATTAATCCATTGTTAATATTCTGTTTCTCATATTGCTAGAAAAGGAACCAGCTTTCTAGAGAGAAACTGGTTTTAGATTACATTTGAGTTACATTTTCCTTTAGTAGAATTCCTTGTCAGTGCCTCTAGATTTGGTTAATTTTCTCTGGATTTGATTAGTTTTTTAAAACCCAGATTGTTAGAAGGATATGTAGTTCTAGCAAGCTTTTGATTTACATAGATGTAATAATGTTTAGTTATTTAGGTGTAATACTATTTGACCTCATAGATGATGGTTACTGATTTTATTTCCATAAGTTGGACATGAAATAAATACTGTCCAATTTTTTGGTAGGTAGAGCTGTCAAAATTAGGCTGAATTTATTATCACTTTTGATGTTGGTTTATGGTGGACTGAATTAACACCTTATATTCCTGACCAATATTCATTATGAAATTTGTACTTAATTTAATATGAACTTGGGATAATACCTAGCTATAACTATGTTATGATTATAACTATTCTCTTACACATTGACATTGTAATTTAAGTTGATCTATTTTTGATTCTGGATAATCTTATAACATTGAACCAGGAGTATGAAAGATAGTGACTAAATATTTACTCTAGATGGAGAAGATTTGAAACTTCATATTAATAGATGGATTCATTCCTTTAAGATTGACCTAAGAGATTGATCTCTATGGGGTGATTAGTGTGATGTTTGGATCACTTTTGAAGTGTGTTTAACATTTCTTCTTCTTAAAGGGTATTCTTCGTACTCCAGACACTATCCGTCGGTTCCAGAGTGTCCCAGCCCAGCCAGGTCAAACTTCTCCTCTACTTCAGTACTTTGGTATCCTTTTGGACCAGGGACAGCTCAACAAATACGAATCCTTAGAGCTTTGTAGGCCTGTACTTCAGCAAGGGCGAAAACAGCTTTTGGAGAAATGGTTAAAAGAAGATAAGGTACTTTAAATTGTGTTGACATAATCTTGCTTTGATTGCATTAAATATGATATTAGCAAGTTAAAATCATTTAGGCTGCACCAAAATGTCTCCATTACTGCTGGTAGAAACAGAACAAAAACATACATTGCATAAGATGGGTTCACTTATTTCCTTTTGAAAATATATTTATTTTTTCACTGGGCGTGGTGGCTCACGCCTGTAATCCCAGCGCTTTGGGAGGCCAAGGCAGGCGGATCACCTGAGGTTGGGAGTTTGAGACCAGCCTTACCACCATGGAGAAACCCCGTCTTTACTAAAAATACAAAAATTGGCCGGACGTGGTGGCAGCACCTGTAATCCCAGCTACTCGGGAGGCTGAGGCAGGAGAATCACTTGAACCTGGGAGGTGGAGGTTGCAGTGAGCTGAGATTGCTTCACTGCACTGTAGCCGGGGCTATAGAATGAGACTCAGTCTTAAAAAAAAAAAAAAAAAAAAGTTGGATCTTAATAAGACAGGATGGCTGTCTAATTAGCAATGAGATACTGTTTCCCAGTGATTTCACAGAATGTTAGTTGGTGTTACATGGAAAAATATTTAACTTGGTTTCTTGAAATTTATTTAAATATGAACCTTTTCTAAATGTTAACTAGCTTTCTTTACTGTAGGTCTTTTCGATGCCTTTTATATTCACTCAGTACTTACTCATTTCTCTTTACAGAGAGCATATAATGGTAGTACGTTTTCCTGAGCACATTATTCCTAATGTGGAATAGTGACTGAGAAACAGCCAAAGGGCGTTTTTTGTTTCTAAGATAACAGACAAGTTTTAGCTGTCCATTAGTGTTAATTCCTTTCACACCACCATATAAAAAAACCTTTCTCCTCAAAGTTGTAGTATGGAATTGCCATTGTCAAGAACTGAAGTAGTATTGTTTAAAGCACTCTGAATAGTGAATAATATTTAATGTTGTTATTCTTTCAGCATTAGAATATATTAGTACTGTTTTTATATTATTAATTCTAAGTCCTTGTTTCTTGATCCAGTTTCTGGCAATCTTGTAAGATACTAGAGAATAGTTTATCAGATTTGGGATGCTTGGACAGGAGTCTCTGATGAAGAACAGCCACACTAGCGAGTATCTGAGGTCCATCCTAATTGATTAAGATAAGGCAGGGCTGAGTTCGGTGGCTCACACCTGTAATCCCACTACTTTGGGAGGCCGAGGCAAAAGGATCACAAGGATCACTTGATGCAAGGAGTTTGAGACCAGCCTAGGCAACACAGAGAGACCCCATTAAATAAATACACACTATTTTTTAAGAAGATAAGGGAGGATGAGAACAGCCAAGGTAACTGAGTTAACCTATGTAACAGGGTGAAAGCTTTTTAAGTATCATTACCCTTTTCTGTGAACAGTCAAATGGGACCATTTGTGGTATTAATAAAAGAGACATCAACTATTCATTAGCATGTTCAGTTAAGATTATAGACTCTGATACAACTTTCTATTTTTGGCATTAAATATCATTTGTAAGAGTTAGTCTCCAAAGTAGAAAGTCAACTTTGGTATATAAACTGGAACTCTTAGGAAATGAATTTCCAGATTGGGCAGCTCAATGAGTAAGGCAGACTGAATAACACAGAAGACGGTATTTGCTTGTATACTACCTAAAAATTCTTAAGAGTGTCCTTCTTGCCCTGTAAGCTTAAATCCAAGTCAAGAAGATAGTGGTACTTAGATTCTTCAGACATATATAGGTTACACTGTGATTTAATAACTGACCTTATGGTAAACCTTATCTGGCTCCTTCAATATTAAATTTTCAGTTGATAACATTACATTAAAAGTTGCTTTTTGCCGGGCACGGTGGCTCATGCCTGTAGTCCGAGCACTTTGGGAGGCCAAGACGGGCGGATCATGAGGTCAGGAGATCGAGGCCATCCTGGCTAACACTGTGAAACCCCATCTCTACTAAAAAATACAAAACAAAATTAGCCGGGCGTGGTGGCGGGCGCCTGTAGTCCCAGCTACTCAGGAGGCTGAGGCAGGAGAATGCCGTGAGCCTGGGAGGCAGAGCTTGCAGAGAGCCGAGATCGCACCACTGCACTCCAGCCTGGGCGACAGAGTGAGACTCTGTCTCAAAAAAAAAAAAAAACAAAAAAAAAGTTGCTTTTTGTTTTTGAAAAATTGGAGCCATGTGATGTGAGTCTGATATCTGAATATTCTTAGTAGTTAGGAGTATAAGAGGTAGAAGATTCTGCTCTAAAGTACTTAAATCCCTAACAAGGTAGTTGATAATATCTATAAGATTGCAGTCTAGGTGAGCTTTTTATCTTTAAATAAGATTTGTGGAGAATTCTACTGAGACATTGCTGTGAATACAAGATTAAGAGTCTACCAGCCACAACCCCTGCATATTTATAGTATATTCTGTGAAACTAAGTACTTCTCGTACTAATTATTATAGTGGATATAGTGTCAACTGCTCATTTCTAAAACAGTTGATCGATCACTAAACAATCTCTTTTTCCTTTGGACAGCTGGAATGTTCTGAAGAACTGGGTGATCTTGTGAAATCTGTGGACCCTACATTGGCACTTAGTGTGTACCTAAGGGCTAATGTCCCAAATAAAGTCATTCAGTGCTTTGCAGAAACAGGTCAAGTCCAGAAGATTGTTTTATATGCTAAAAAAGTGAGTTCAATGAAACAGATTCTCAGCATGAATTCATCGAAGCATGGACAGAGAAATTAGCCTGTATTAACTCTTGGTTACTTTAATAGTGAATTTCCTTTCATTTTGATTTACTTTGAAATATATAAAAATTCTCTTACCCCTCATATCAAATTCATACTTGTTAAATTGAGACAATTACTCTTGCATGGCTTATCAGAATTTAAGATAGCAGACATGTTTAACATGTTAGAACAAACTTTTGAAATACTCATTTATTGAAAATGGATAAGCCAGGCCAGGCTTGGTAGCTTGCGCCTGTAATCCCAGCACTTTGGGAGGCCAAGGCGGGCAGATCACTTGAGCTCAGGAGTTTGAGACCAGTCTGGGCAACATGGTGAAACCCTGTCTTTACTAAAAATACAAAAAAGTAGCCAGGCGTGGTGGTGTGTGACTGTGGTCCTAGCTACTCAGGAAGCCAAGGTGGGAAGATCACTTGAGCCCAGGGGGCAGAGGTTTCAGTGAACCGAGATTGCACCTCTGCACTCCAGCTTGGATGACAAAGCAAGACCCTGTCTCAAAAAAAAAAAAAAGAAGAAGAATAAAATGGATAAGCCAGTTATAAAAATTGACAGGTGTTTATTCAAATATGTCATCATCAGGGTCTAACTGGGCACTTTAAATCGAAAATGAATTTGTGCTTTCATGAGTAGTTCTATATTAGCAAGATTTTATAGTAGAAAAAGTCTTTAAATGCTATGAAATTGAAACTTAGAAGCAGCGTTTAAGTCTTTGTTTGTTTATAGGTTGGATACACTCCAGATTGGATATTTCTGCTGAGAAATGTAATGCGAATCAGTCCAGATCAGGGACAGCAGTTTGCCCAAATGTTAGTTCAAGATGAAGAGCCTCTTGCTGACATCACACAGGTAATGTGATTACAATATATTTTGTAGAAGCTGATTGAAATGGGGAGTGGGGGCCAACCGTGGTGGTTCACGCTTGTAGTCCCAGTACTTTGGGAGACCAAGGTGGGAGGATTGCTTGAGGCCAAGAATTCAAGACCAGTCTGGGCAACATGTGAGACCCTGTAACTACAAAAAATTTAAAAATCAGCTGGGTGTGGTGGCACATGCCTGTCGTCCCAGCTACTCAGGTGGCTGAAGTGGAGGGACAGCTTGAGCCTGGAGGTCCAGGTTGCAGTGAGCTGTGATCATGCCATTGCACTCCAACCTGGGCAACACAGTGAGACTCTCTTAAAAAGAAAAAAAGAAAAAAAAAAGAAACTTAGAGTTTGTAGAAATTAAAGCTTTGTCACTCTATATGGATAAACCTCAAATGCCTTGCAAAAAAAAGCAAGTTGCAAAAGAATGGATAATATGAAACCATCTGCATGTAGTTTTAATACATGCAAAACAAACATCTTATTTAGAGATGTATATGTATTAAAAATATGAAAAATACATGGGGATGATAAAACAGGATAGTAGTTGCCACTGGGTATGGGGAGAGGGAAGAGATGCATTTGGAAGTGTGAGTCAGAGTCCTTCATATTGTTTATGCTGTTGTTTTTCAAAAGTTTATAAAAATAAAGGTCAGTCTGGGCATGGTGGCTGACGCCTGTAATCCCAGCACTTTGGGAGGCTGAGGTGGGCGGATCACCTGAGGTCAGGAGTTTGAGACCAGCCTAGCCAATATAGCAAAACCCTGTCTCTACTAAAAATAACAAATTATCCAGGTGTGGTGGCAGATGCTTGTAATGCCAGCTGCTTGGGAGCAGAGGCAGGAGAATCGCTTGAACCCGGGAGGCAGAGGTTGCAGTGAGCTGGGATCGTGCCATTGCACTCCAGCCTGGGCAACAAGAGCAAAACTCCGCCTCAAAAAAATAAAATAAATAAAATAATAAAATAAAGGTCTATTGGTTCAATTGTATTCTGCTATTATGTAATATCTTGAAATATTTTGTAGTTTTTATCAGAACTGAAAATAACTGTGTTCTCTAGAGGACAAAAATTTGTTCTTAAAGTGTTCATATTGTCCAAATAAAATTCTCAGGTAAAGAAAGAGCTCGTGCATAATTTTGTCTACATACTCTCCATAGTATCTTAAAACAATTTCTTTTAAATCTATTTTTTTTGTAGATTGTAGATGTCTTTATGGAATACAATCTAATTCAGCAATGTACTGCATTCTTGCTTGATGCTCTGAAGAATAATCGCCCATCTGAAGGTCCTTTACAGACGCGGTTACTTGAGATGAACCTTATGCATGCGCCTCAAGTATGTGTTTTAATGCTTTTTAGGCATGTTTCCAACATTGTTTTAGTAGTTGTGCAGAGCATCTCAGATTGTCATGCAAAGCTACTGAGATGCCTACTCCTTATACAAGAAAATTTAGCTATTATAATATTCTTTTGTACTTTCTTTAACAGTTCACTATTAAACCTTAATCTGTAATGGATGTTGAATTACTCATATAAATGGAGTGGACAATTAACTTTCCTTGTTTGTGGTTTTACAGGTTGCAGATGCTATTCTAGGCAATCAGATGTTCACACATTATGACCGGGCTCACATTGCTCAACTGTGTGAAAAGGCTGGCCTACTGCAGCGTGCATTAGAACACTTCACTGATTTATATGATATAAAACGTGCAGTGGTTCACACCCATCTTCTTAACCCTGAGGTATTTCAGTTTCTTACCTGATAGATGGTGTTAGTTGTGATTAATAGGTACACTGAAAATGTGTTTGTGGTACTAAATATTAATGATTTCATACCACCATGAGGTTCAACGTTATTTCATTTATTCATTCATTCATTTATTTTGTCTTGTAGTGGTTAGTCAACTACTTTGGTTCCTTATCAGTAGAAGACTCCCTAGAATGTCTCAGAGCCATGCTGTCTGCCAACATTCGTCAGAATCTGCAGATCTGTGTTCAAGTGGCTTCTAAATATCATGAACAACTGTCAACTCAGTCTCTGATTGAACTTTTTGAATCTTTCAAGAGTTTTGAAGGTAAGTAGGAGTTTTTGAGTTTTTTAAAAAAGTACTTAAGATAGCCAAGAAGAGGTATGCTTATGATCAGGCTATTGGAAATTTTGTCTTTTTTTTTTTTTTTTTTGAGACAGAGTCTCACTCTGTTGCCCAGGCTGGAGTGCAGTGGCCGGATCTCGGCTCACTGCAACCTCTGCCTCCCGGGTTTACGCCATTCTCCTGCCTCCGCCTCCCGAGTAGCTGGGACTACAGGCACCTGCCACCTCGCCTGGCTAGTTGTTTTTGTATTTTTTTAGTAGAGATGGGGTTTCACCATATTAGCCAGAATGGTCTCGATCTCCTGACCTCGTGATCCGCCCGTCTCGGCCTCCCAAAGTGCTGGGATTACAGGCTTGAGCCACCGTGCCCGGCCTGGAAATCTTGTCTTTCTAAAAATTTGTTCTATGGGACATTTTAATTTTTATTCAATAAATATTGTCAAGGCCCTTTTATGTTGGATCCTAAGGATATGCAGTGAACAAGACCATCTGTTTGGATATTTTATAGATGAATGAAAGGTAGAATTTTAAGAGAAAAATATGTAGTGGTGTTGAAATTGCATAAAATGAAAATACAGGTTGAGTGTCCCTAATCTGAAAATCCAAAATGCACCAAAGCCTGAAACTTTTTGAGCACCAACATAATGCTCAAAGGAAATGCTTGTTGGAGCATTTCAGAAATTGGATTTTCAGATTAGGGATGCTGATCAGGTAATTATAAAGCGAATATTCCAAAGTTGAAAATTTGAAACATGTCTGGTCTCAAGTATTTTGGATAGGGGATACTCAATCTGTACTAATGATCGGGTATAATAACATTTTATGCTTATATGTCTGACTCTTACAATAGCAGGTGATTCTCGCCAAGGGCATTTTGTGATTTGTTGCTATTTAGCAGAATTTCTTAACCTTAGTACTATAGACATTTAAGGCTGGATAATCATTGTAGAGGGGTATTCCTGTAGATGTAGAATATTTAGTAGAATATTTAGCAGCATTCCTGGTTTCTACCCACTAGATGCCAGTAGCGTGAGCTCCACCAGCTGTGACAACCAAAAATGTCTTCAGACATTGCCAGTGTCACCTGTGAGGAAAATCACCTCAGTTGAGAACCACTGCTATGCAGGGAACTAACGTAATCACTGTTGGGTGGCTAAGTTCTGGTCCTCAATTGCCTTTCTCTCCTCTTTGTAGTGGTAGTGCTCTATTGAGAAGGGGTAAGAGAGTCTACTAGTTTTCTTAATGTTTTCTTAATTTTCACAGTTTTACACTGTTTAGTACAGCATTCACTAGCCACATATAGCAGCTATTTACATCGAAAGTTATTAAAATTAAATAAAATTTAATATTTAGTTATTCAGTCACTCTAGCCACATTTCAAGTGCTTAATAGCCACGTGTGGTTTAGTGGCTATTACATCGGGGGGCAAAGATAAGATTTTCATCATTGCAGAAAGTTCTTCTGGACAATACTGCACTAAATTCTTCCCAAATTATTTTGTATGTTTCCTATAAACTGCATATTGAAAAACACCAGGTATTGGGGTCTTCATTTAAAATTTCCCATATAGGGGCACAGTGGTATATGCCTTTAATAATCCCAGTGCTTTGGGAGGCCAAGGCAGGAGGATTGCTTGAGGCCACAAATTCAAGACCAGCCTGGGTAACACAGCAAGACCCCATCTCTACAAAAATTTTCTTAAAAATTAGCCTGGCATAGTGGCATGCACCTACCTACTTAGGAGGTTGAGGTAGGAGGATTGCTTGATCCCAGGAGTTTGAGGCTGCAGTGAGCTATGATCGTGCCACTGCACTCCAGCCTGGGTGACAGAGACCTGCCTCAATAAAAAAGAAAAAAAGGAAACACTGGGTTGAATTGTCTGTTCTTTAGGATTAAAGTGCAAATCCATTTTACTGATCTGATTAATGGAATAATTAGTATTTTTATCGAGCTTTTTAAGCAACCAACTTATATTTGGGAGTATTCAATGTAACAGTTTTTTAATTGCATAAATGCTTTTCAGTCATTCTCAAAAGTGTGCCTATGCTTAATTGTAATTACTTGTTTCTTTAAGGTCTCTTTTATTTTCTGGGATCCATTGTTAACTTTAGTCAGGACCCAGATGTGCACTTTAAATACATTCAGGCAGCTTGCAAGACTGGGCAAATCAAAGAAGTAGAAAGAATCTGTAGAGAAAGCAACTGCTATGATCCTGAGCGAGTCAAGAATTTTCTTAAGGTAAGTGGTTTTGGGTAACGTGTTTTCTGGTTGGATTCCAGTTTAGCAGTTCTACAAGGGTTTGGTCGTAGTTCAAAAATATTTTTTCCCTAAATGTGAAATTGTTAGCATTCTTAAGTTGTGTGCTGGATTATTTCTTCCAAACATAATACTCTGTGGTTTCCTTTGAAATACGGAAGGAAATCGGTGAGTAAGAATGACCATCTGTTTAAAAGAAGAAGAAAAATAGCATTATTTCAAAGGAATTTCCTTTATTTTAATTTTGGATGGAAAAATTTAGAAAAGTGGTTATATACTTTCAGAGTCATTTGAGAATCATTTAGGCTTTTGAATATTAACATCAGCTTGCTCTTCATACCATTTTGAGGAGCCTCTATGGTAGGCAAAGGGATCTGTTATCTAAGGAATGTATAGGCTTACCTCTTTCATCAAGTTTGCCCAACTCTAGAAACTAAAATATTATTCATATATAATTCATAAATTAAAGATAAGATCAAACAAAATGCTCAGCTTTGTGATACATGAAATGAGTTATAGAGAAGTAAGGACCACCTGTGTTGCAGGGAGGAGTAATGGTGGAGACATTCTGAACTCTAGAAGATCCCTAAGGGCAGTTAATTTTGTTTAATGTTTAACTTAGCTTTAGCTTTATTCTACCAGTTACTTTGTGAGGGAAATAAAACTTTAAAGTTGATAGCTATCTCTAAAAGACCAGGAAAACTACAGAACACTTAGATTACTGCTCTCTCACTGCCTATTATATGTGTGTGTGTATTTTATATATATATATATAAAATGATTCCTGAGACTTTATAGAAAGTGCTGAAGTATTTTTTGTCTTGGAAGAATTTTAAATTACAAGTGAAACCAAATGTTTATTGTAGAATACAGTACAAAAAGTAGGCTTTTCCTGCTCCCAGACCATCATCATTTGTGCCTGTGGTTGCGCTGGCAGATTGTTCTTTTGAAGAATTTACTACCTGGGCTCTAGATGAAATAGCAAAACCCTTAGGGATTTTAGTGTAATGAGGTAGTCAAAATGTTGAAATTGCTCTACATTTTAGATTTAAAAGATACACTTTTCAAAAAAGTGTAGCTTTATAATGTCTTTGGCCATCATGAATATTCTGGGTAACCTAGCTAGTATGCTATGTTTGGACCAAAACTTTCTGGTATCAAAAAACCCCTCCAGATGAGAAGGATTTGATACTCTATGCTTGACTAGTGTACCCATACTACTGATTCACTTCCTTCTGTGAGTATCATTACTATTTCCTTCAAAAAAAAAAAACAAAACTGCTACCAGATTCTTTTGGGGGCAGGGGGTGTTGGGGGTTTTTGTTGTTTTTCTTTTTAAGCTTTGAAGTTCAGGGGGGTGCATGGGCAGGTGTGTTATATAGGTAAACTTGTGTCATGGGGGTTTGTTGTACAGATTGTTTCGTCACCCAGGTATTAAGCCCACAACCCATTAGTTTTTTTCCTGATCCTCTCCCTCCTCCCATCCTCCACCCTTCAGTAGGCCCCAGTGTCTGTTGTTCCTCTCTGTGTCCATGTGTTCTCGTCATTTATCTCCCACTTACTAGTGAGAACATGCAGTATTTGGTTTTCTCTTCCTGTGTTAATACTACCAGATTCTTACATGATTTTTGTTTTTATTGAGCCCTCAGCTTTTATGCTTAAATTGTAACTTCTTTAGCTTTGGATTTTAATATTTGAGTTACATATATATGGAAGGCAAAATGAAGTTAACTGCTATCATTTAATTATCACATTCTTGAGCTTTAAAAAAATCCTCTAGTAAAGACATAAAAAATAATCCTCTGGTTACTAGGATGGTACTGCCTTAGGTTTGCATATCCCATGGGATCTAATCAGATGAAGATTTCCCCTTCACACTTGTGAATTAGGTGCAAGCCTGATATAGTAGGGGTGTGGATGTGGATTATGAGCTTTTGAGTCAGTCAGACCTGTTTCAAATTCTACTTAGCCATTGTTTGTTCATTCAGTATATGTCTAGCCGTTACCTCAGGCAAGTTAATGAATGTGCCTCAGCCTCAGTTTCTTCAACCATAAGCTATGTTTCTTTATCAAGTACCTTGTATACTATAGATGTTGAGGTAGTAACTATTACTGATAAGTGATAAGCCTTGGAAAAAGGTGGAGTCAGCTTAAATGGGATTTCTGTCAGGCAGGTATTTATTTCTCTTTGATATCAATTTGTACCTGACTCTTTGAAGGAATTTACTTCCGGCCAGGATTAGAGGTGAATTTAGTGTCTTATGTCTACATAATTTGAGATGGGAGCTCAATACTAAGATGCAACTATCACATTTATCCTCTGATGCCAGTGTTGAGGATGAACATAATAGATTCCTTGTTAACCTGTAGTACATGGTTACGATGCCTCTTACCACTGTCATTAAACTTAATTTTAGAGGTACTAGCTACATGATAATTTACTGGTGTTGTAAGTAAACCCTGTGTCATAAGAAAAATACCGTTGACTCTGATCTTGAATATTCGAGTGCCAATTGTGTGTTAGCCACCAGGAATAAAGAGATTGGTAGAACATAACTTCTCCTTTAAGGTACCCTGTGAGCAGGATAAAGTTGTGTCATTAGCATCACATGGCTTATGCCCTAAGTTTGTAGAACTGTAAACTCTCTGTAGAAAGCATGTAACTGTTCATCAGACCCATGATCTGCTCCTTGCTACCTCTGATCTTATTTTCTACCTTTCTTTTTTTCTTCTTTCCTGGTTTATCTTCAACCACACTGGCCTGCTTGCTATTCCTGGAACTCCCCCAACCCTGTCCTGCCCAAGGGCCTTTGCTTGTGCCCTGTACTACTTATTCTCTCATGACCTTCTCCTTCTTTGGGTTTCTGATTGAATGTCATAAGAGAGGATGTCTCAGGTTGCCCTGTTAAAATAGAACCCATTCCTACCCCATTTTGCTTGTTTTTCTTTATAACACCACTGTGTACGTCTCCTCCCACTAGAATGTAAGTTCCTTGATAGAATGGACTCTGCTTCCTTTGTTCCCTGCTGTATCTCCAGTAACTAAGAACAGAGTCTGATACTTGGGTACTCATAAATATTTGTTAAATGAACAAATTTATGTTGAAGAAAACCTCTATGTTAATATAATTTCAAGTTTGATCTTAAAATCTTTAACCATTATAACTGGCGGTTAATTAAACATTTAGTAGGTAATTTAGTATTATTAAAGTGTTAATAACATTTCTACCATGTATAAAATCATGTGCAAATTTTAGCAATCAAGAAAATAACCTAGATTTTGTCTTTTTAAATCTGAAATTTTATTTTGGAATACAGTTGGTATTCCACAAAAGTGGAATTATTTGCCACAGAAGTTTAAACACCTATGCATGAAAATAAAGTAATCCTAGATTATTTGTAAGTGATAAAGTTAACAAAAATATTTTATATGTGTGTAGGTAAGATGACTAGTGTGTTGATCCATACTTTTTTGATGTTCATTTAGTAGGAAAAACATAACATACTAAAATTTTTGCGTAGATAGATGCAGACAGATTCTAGAAATGATTGTAACAGCTATTAGTGCAGAGTTTCCATGGTGTTAAACAATACTTGCTTTAGAAAACCTTCCTTAATGTCGAAAATGTGCGGCTTTACAGACATTTTTATTTTTAAATTTAGGATGGCTAAATTAAAATTAAGATTTACCTTGGTGTTCTTGGAACACTTCATAGACTAGTCTTTGTATTACTTATAATTGAGTAACTAATATCCCCTAGTCTCAGGAGCCATTTTATTCTAACCTTGAAAATAATGTTCTTAGTGGCCATCACTGGGGAAAGTTCTACCCTACTTAGTTCTGCTTCCCTAGTAGACTATGTTAGAGGAATCATTTATTGAAGAATGTTTCACTGTGTATAAATGAATTCCTGATGGAAACTGTTGTTTTTTGTGCTCTACCTTATGTCTGTGGAATGTAACAGGACATGTATCAGGTAAATGCCCAGTACAGGTTTTACTTACCTGTCTGTAACATCTTCTATGTCAATCTATAAGTAGGATTGTAGTTTGGTATCTGTAATGGAATGGTAAAAGCAGTTGGCAATTTAAAGAGGTCTTTTCTTTAAATGCTGTTTTTTTTGGGGGTTGGGGGGCGGTTCTTATGGCCACATGTAGTCACCATCATGCTGCTCCTTGTAGGCTTTGTTATAATAGAGTATTAGAGACTGGTTGTCTAGATTGGATGTGGGGAGGGATAGAAAATCATTAGTTTGAAACAAATGTGAGCCATTTATGCCATATGTTTGACAATGTGACTATAGTTATTAAGTTGATTTCAAATACAATGGAAGTGTGACTACCAATGAAAGTCCCAGTGTGGTGACTCTCAGATGAGTGGCTCTCATCTGAGAGCCACTGCTGGCTCAGGTATCTTAATTTGTTACTCTTGCTTTGTGGTAAAGGGTGTGTATGGGAAGGACCTGGTATCTTGCTGTGTGAATCCAAGTATTGCTTAGTAAAAATTTACTGAAACTGGGATGTACACACTCAACTATTGGGACGTTCTTTCTTTAACAGAAGAGCCATGCTTGTGTGAGCCTCTCTTGTTAGTGTAGAACAGATTCTCATATTTTACATAGATTAGATACCTCATAGAAGGAGAAAGTTAAAGCTTCCTTTTGTTTGTCTTTTTTTCAGGAAGCGAAACTAACAGATCAGCTACCACTTATCATTGTATGTGATCGATTTGACTTTGTCCATGATTTGGTGCTCTATTTATATAGAAATAATCTTCAAAAGTATATAGAGATATATGTACAGAAGGTAAGTATGTAGGTAATGTAAAGGTATAATCTTACTGTAGATTTTATTTCTCATATTCTGGAAATCCTTTTGAAACTCTGTGCTCAATAAGAGTGGTCTGCAGCTTTTAACGTGGGTTTTTTTGTTTTTGTTTTCGAGACAGGGTCTTGCTCTGTCACCCATGATGCAATACAGTGGCACAATCATAGCTCACTCTAACCTTAAACTCCTGGGCTCAAGCAATCCTCCTGCCTTAGCCTCCCAAGTATCTGGGACTGCAGGTGCATACTACCATGCCCAGCTGCTTTTAATACTTTTTTCCCCATAAAATTCTACATGCTTTCCTAGCAAGCCGACTCAGGGAAGGGGAAAAGAAATGCTTGCCAAGTGTGTAAAATAGAAGAATAGAACTGCTATTGTTGAAAAAGTTGGGTGGCCTACGGCCCTACTAACTTGATAGGCCTTGAGGTATCCATGTAGAAGCCCTAGACTCTAAAGCAGAGTTTTCAAACCATCTTAAATACAGCTATTAGATACTTCACCTTCTAACTGTAGAAACAGGCAGTATTGCTATCATGGGAGCCTTTTAATTAGATAGTCTTGCATAGTCATCTTTGACTGTAGTTTCTTTGGACTTATTTATCATATGGAACAATGCTTGGGTAACTAATAGAGAATATAGTATATGTGCTTTCAATACTTATTAAACCATGAAGTCTTGCTTTTAGCCGGACCTCCTGCTGAATTCCTCTATCTAGTTGCAAATTTAGACCCTCAGTTTATTACTGAATTTAAAAACTGAACTTAAAGAAAAACTGAGCTTAAAAGCGATAGAGATAAATGGTTTTATTTTTTCTAATTCCTCTTTGCTTTTAATAACAGTGACATTCTTCTACTTTTTTTAACCACAGGTGAATCCAAGTCGACTTCCTGTGGTTATTGGAGGATTACTTGATGTTGACTGTTCTGAAGATGTCATAAAAAACTTGATTCTTGTTGTAAGAGGTCAATTCTCTACTGATGAGCTTGTTGCTGAGGTTGAAAAAAGAAACAGGTGTAGTACCATTTTAACGGGGATAAGTTACTCTTTCTTAGCATGGCAATAGATAAAAATATAGGTAGTCAGTTGTTCCAAAACTACTCAGCACCACGTGGAGAATAATTTCCTGAAGACACCTCACGTAGAGGTGATAAGCTAGCTAATAGCGCCCAAAAAAAATCTGTTTTCTGAAACATTATAGCTGTCATAGCATATCTGTTAACCTGGTTGATCCTTTTTTTTGGCATGTTTATAATTACAGCTATGTAGTTTGACTTTATGTGTTTTTAATATAAACTATGTACTAAGTTTCCTGTTTAGTTAGGTGTGATACCTATGTATTTAACAACTAATTATTTACTGATCAATAGTGTGGTGTTTCCAACCTGAGAAAGCTGCTTAATAAAAACAAATAGCGTGGTGTTTATTTAAGTATGAGTAAAAGAGTTCCCTGTGCAACTCTTGAATTCAACTGATGTTTAATTTATAGTACCTTAACATGATAATACATGATCATATGGATTTCCAATAGAATATAGTGTAAGTGCTTCTAAAACTTACAGACTGTGAAGGCTTTTTTTAGCTGGAACATTCTGAGGAACTAGTGTTTAGGAAGTACTGATGTAAATGAGGGTGGTGAGGTGGTATGCTAGTGGGAAGTTCTGCTGTTTATATAAGAAGAAATTAAGAAAGTCTGTGGGATTTCATTTTAACCTGAGTTGGTATAGGTGATCTACTAATTATATTCTTAGAATTTATATTAGAATGTTTCACACATGGAAAAATTTTGCATTTAAGGGTAATAGAGATATACAGTTAATACTGACTTAAAGGTTTGAGCCTAGTTTCAAGTAATTTCATGTCATAACAATTTAACATTTAATAAGAGGTTCAGTTGAGTCTTAAATCTATTACCTGAAAATAATCTTACTGCATATTCCAAGCAAATGGCAGTTACAGTTAGATAATTTAGTCTTTAAGTGACAAATTATATTGTGAAAAGCTAGATTCACCTCTAAGTCACTAGTCTAGACATGCCTTAGCTAATTTTTATTCCTTAAGTTGACATGGCACATCTTGGATTGCGCATGTTTTTAGGAGCTGGATATTCGCCTCTATTTATTAAAATTGTCTTCTCCCTAATGGGAGTGTTCATAATAACCATGTGAATTGGTAGACAAAATAACAGAATAATGCTTTTTCTTTGGCTACTTTTAATGTTAAATCATTGGTAAAAGAGGCTTGGGCCAGGCATGGTGGCTTGTGCCTGTAGTCCCAGCTTCTAGGGAGGCTTAGGTGAGAGGATTGCTTGAGCCCAGGAGGTCAGGACTGCAGTGAGCCATGTTCCCACCACTGCACTCCAGCTTGGGCAACAGAAGACCCTGGCTTTAAAATAGAAATAAAAGCAGGCATGGTCATCAGGACTACCAAAACAAGCTATAGTATAGCAAAACTGTGCTCCTTGATGGAGTGTTTATATGACAGCTACAACCATTAAACCCAGAGCTTCTAAAGCTACCAGATTTTATTCCCAGTATGTATTTAGGGTTTGGCTGTAGGTAATGCTGTAAGTTAACTGTGTTAAGAGCTGAAAGAACTCTCAGATAATCTGGCCTATATAATATCACCTCCCCATTCTATCCATAAACAAAATTTCCTAAGGTCTAGATATTTTGCATGTTATAAAGAAAGGACACTGTGTGACTCTCTAATCTTTTATTCAGATGTAAGCAGGTAGGTATATCATATAGCAGATAAATCTGGGAGAGTGAAAATAGCTTTATATACCTTCTTTTTATTCTTGGGCAACTCAATCATCTTTTGAGTCCAAGGATCACTTGAGCCCAAAGCTGTAGTGTACAATGATTATGGCTGGAATAGCCACTGCACTTAAGTCTGGGCAATGTAGCAGTACTCAAGGGGGAAAAAAGTATGTGAAAGTGAAAGCACGTTGTAGACCATAAGGTATTTACATAGTTAGCATGTCAAGAGTGTGTTATTTATAATGCAGTATGTGTGTGTGAGGTTTTTTTCCCATTTTTCCTAGATTGAAACTGCTTCTGCCTTGGCTAGAGGCCAGAATTCATGAGGGCTGTGAGGAGCCTGCTACTCACAATGCCTTAGCCAAAATCTACATAGACAGTAATAACAACCCGGAGAGATTTCTTCGTGAAAATCCCTACTATGACAGTCGTGTTGTTGGAAAGTATTGTGAGAAGAGAGATCCACATCTGGCCTGTGTTGCTTATGAACGTGGCCAGTGTGATCTGGAACTTATTAATGTGAGTACTGCTAGCTGAATACGTAAAAAAGCTGCATTTTTTAAAACCTGTTATATGAGAGGTTCAGGGTGATTTTAGGTAATATGGGACATTTGGGGACAGTGGGTGCTTTTTAAAAACTTTATTTGCTAATAATTGTCAATCTGAAAGTGCCCAAATAGTGGATAAAGTCTATATACCCTTTATTCTGATTGACTTGTTAATGTTTTAACCCCATTAGCCTTACCATTTGTGTTCTCACACTCTTACATGCAGGCACACCATTCACACGTATGTGTTACACACATCTATTATTTTTTAACCACGTGGGAATAAGTTGAATACATCATGGCCTTATACCCCTTCAGAGTGTATGGCTTAAGAATGAGGATATTCTATTTCATTAACCACATGAAATGTACCAGCTTCAGTCAGTTTGACATTGACAGGATACCTTTAAAAATCTGTTCTATTCTAGTTGTGTCAATTAACCAATGACGTCCTTTGTAGCAGTTTTTTTCCCCTCTAGTCTAAGGTTATATATGACATGTAGTTTTCATGTCTCTTTAGTCTCCTGTACTCTGGAATGGTTCTTCAGTCTTTTATTTTTTATGACACTGATATTTTTGTAAACAGATAGTTGCTTTTTCTATTTGTAACTATTTTATATAGGTGAAATTTAAAGCAACATCAAATTAACCATTTTAAAGTGAACAATTCAGTGAAATTCAGTACATTTACAATGTTACATAATCACCTTTATCTAGTTCCAATTTTTCATCACTTCAAAAGGAAACCCTGTATTCCTCAAACAGTTCCTCCACATACCCCCTCCTCCCAGCCCCTGACAACCACCAGACTGTACTCTGTCTCTATGGATTCGCCTATTCTCTATATTTCATTTAAATGTGAAGTCTCTTTTTAAAAAATAGAATGTGTCTCATTTTGATTCCTCTGATGGTTTCTGAAGGTTAGATTTAGATTATACATTTCCACCCAGAATACTGCTTCAGTGGTGGTTTGTTTTTCTCATGGTATTATATCCAGAAGCACACAGTGTTCATTTGTCCCCTTTGTCAGTTTTTATCAAGTTGTAACATTTCTTTATTATATAATTATTACCCTCTTGCAGATATTAAACAGTCTATAAGTAGACACTTAAGACCATGCAAATATCCTCTTACCCCCTCCCTTAATTTAGCATCTGTTGATTCTTGCTTAAAACATTCTTAATGTGTTGGTTGCAAAATGAAAATTTTTCAAACTCTAGCAGTTTCTCCACATTTGTCAGTTAACACTCATGCATTCATGAACTCTTGGATTTTATTCGATGGGGTGCAATCCATTACTATTTATTTTGATGCTCAAATTGTCCCAGCTGGTGAGAACATCTTCAGTCTGTGTCTTTGTGTCATGGGCTCATTGTTCTTTGAGCATTTTAACTTATTTTCTGGCACACAATACACCAAGCTCATTTTGTACCTTCTGCAGCCCTGGAGTCAGTCATTTCTCTAGGGAACCTTTTACTGGGGCATGGTATTAGAAATCAAGATCTGGGCCAGGTGAGTGGCTCACTCCTAGAATCCCAGCACTTTGGGAGGCTGAGGCAGGAGGATCACTTGAGCCCAGGAGTTGAAACCAGCCTGGGCAACATAGCGAACCCGTCTCTACAAAAAATTATGTAATTAGCTGGGGGAGGTACCATGTACTTGGTTCGAAGCTATCCAGAAGGCTGAGATAGGAGGATCACTTGAGCCCAGGAGGTCAAGGTTGCAGTGAATTACGATCGCAACACTGCACTCTCCAGCCTGGACAACAGAGCAAGACTCTTATTTCCTGAAAATATTAGAAGTCAAGATCTGAGCTTAGGTATATTTGCTTCTAAGATCTTTCAGTGGTCAGAGCTAGGAAATAGTTATATTTATGTACATACATATGCTCACTTATGTACATACATGTGCATATACACATGGAAAAATAAACACACAAGAACAGCTAGTAAAACACTGAAAAATGTAAAAGTGGACTAGTCCTACCAGATGTTAAATTGTATATTACAAAGCCTGTATAATTAAAACAGTATATTACTGGTATGTGAATCAAAGTCCAAAAGTAGATCCAATATCAGTAAGATTATCAATAAACAGAGTTTAAACAATAGGAAATAACCTCTAAAATGCTATAAAAAGTCTTTTACTTTTTACCTTGAAATTGATCTGTCATATCTTCTTTAGGTTTGCAATGAGAATTCCCTCTTCAAAAGTCTTTCTCGCTACTTGGTACGTCGAAAGGATCCAGAATTGTGGGGCAGCGTGCTGCTGGAAAGCAATCCTTACAGGAGACCCCTAATTGACCAGGTAACATTGGCAAACATATTTATGACTGTCAGTAAAAATTATACATTTTTAACTGTGGATACAATCCCCTCATCATATACTCAAATGGATCATATTTAACTAGGAGAGAAAGCAATACAAAGTAGAAGGAAATTAAAATTTATATACATTCAATTTACATTCATTTGTATATAATGTAATATTTGTATATAATTTGTATATAATTCATTTGTATAAATATGTATAATAACATACATTAAGAAAAATAAGCAGGCCGGGCGCGGTGGCTCAAGCCTGTAATCCCAGCACTTTGGGAGGCTGAGGCGGGTGGATCACGAGGTCAGGAGATCGAGACCATCCTGGCTAACATGGTGAAACCCTGTCTCTACTAAAAATACAAAAAACTAGCCAGGCGCGGTGTCCCAGCTACTCGGAGGCTGAGGCGGGAGAATGGCATGAACCTGGGAGGCGGAGCTTGCAGTGAGCCGAGATCCCGCCACTGCACTCCAGCCTGGGTGACAGAGTGAGACTCTGTCTCAAAAAAAAAAAAAGAAAAAGAAAAAAAAAAAAAGAAAAATAAGCTGCGTGCAGTGGCTCACGCCTGTAATCCCAGCACTTTGGGAGGCCGAGGTGGGCAGATTGCCTGAGGTCAGGAGTTCGAGACCAGTCTGGCCAACGTGGTGAAACCCCGTCTCTACTAAAAATACAAAAATTAGCCAGGCATGGTGGCACGCGCCTGTAATCCCAGCTACTCGGGAGGCTGAGGCAGGAAAATCACTTGAACCTGGGAGGCGGAGGTTGCAGTGAGCTGAGATCACACTATTGCACTCCAGCCTGGGTGACAAGCGAGACTGTATCAAAAAAAAAGAAAACACATCCTAAAAGACATGACTTAATTACATAAAACTCTCTCGGTTCATCATAGTTTAAAAGGAAAATAACAAACTAAACAGTAAGGATTGCTATTAATGCCTAAGAAGTGGCTAAATTGATTGGAAACTTCAAGACAATGATAAGTCAGCAAAAGATAAGGATAAGAGAAAATACAAAAGACCAAGTGCATCTGTTATATCTTACTAACAAGAAGTATAGAACTGCACATGAGATGGGCTTTTATACCTAAATAAAATAGACAACATATTTTAAAAGCTCTAAAAATTGAAGGATTGTTAATAATGAGTCTTAAAATTCTCCTGAAATAAGTATAAATAAAACATTTTGGAAACAAATAGGTTGAAGGCTATTAATATTTCATTCCTTTCCTAGGAAGCATTTCTAAGGAACATTCCAACTAGTTACAAAGCTTCCTAGGGGAAGGATGTGGAGGGGGTGGTTGGAAATCATTGCAGCATCTAGAAAGCCATGCAAATAGGCAAAACTAGAAGAATTACTGATACTATAGTTCCACATCTGTGTAGTTGAATTTTGAATTATGTGTAGCCACTAAAGTGATAATGATGATTGCTAGCCTGGATAATGTTTTAATCAGGGAAAAGATAGAAATTATATAATTAGAGTAATTTTTCAAGAGAGTAGAATTACACATATTGTATAGATTTGTGTAGAAAGACCTCTGTGTGTAAATTTAAAGGTCTTTTTCCTACTTCATTCTTTTCTGCCTATTTCAAGTTTTCTAATGAGAGGCCAACTTATCCTTATTTAAAACCAACTTGATTCTCAATACTTATGTCCCATATATCCTCTGTAGGTTGTACAAACAGCTTTGTCTGAGACTCAGGACCCTGAAGAAGTGTCAGTAACTGTCAAGGCTTTCATGACTGCAGACCTTCCTAATGAACTGATTGAACTGCTGGAGAAAATTGTCCTTGATAACTCTGTATTCAGTGAACACAGGTATGCTTTCAGAGGGATCCATTGGCTGTTTATTGTCAGTCTTTAATAATGGCCCATCAGTTTTGGGAAGGAACAAAAAGATCAGAGAAAGTTGCCTGAATTCTCACTCTTCTAATATCCCCCCTCCTTCACTCTATCTCTTGAGACAAAAACCTCTCTATTAGTCACAGTGGTTTTTTTTTTATGTCTGATAAACTTAAAATATTGCATTTAAAATATTCTTTTGTTTCTTAAAGGAATCTGCAAAACCTCCTTATCCTCACCGCAATTAAAGCTGACCGTACACGTGTTATGGAGTATATTAACCGCTTGGATAATTATGATGCCCCAGATATTGCCAATATCGCCATCAGCAATGAGCTGTTTGAAGAAGCATTTGCCATTTTCCGGAAATTTGATGTCAATACTTCAGCAGTTCAGGTAAATCTTTAGATTACCTAAGTTGAATTACTAAATGTAGTGTCTTCTACTCATTCAGTGTATGCACTGTCCTGTGAGGGTGGGCCTAATTGGTTCCTATGGCAATAGAAGAGCAATAAAATACTAACAGCTTAAATGTAATTTGCTCTGGGTAGGATTGATTTTACTCTAACCCCAATTTCAAACTTGGGTACTTAGGTCTTAATTGAACATATTGGAAACTTGGATCGGGCATATGAGTTTGCTGAACGTTGCAATGAACCTGCGGTCTGGAGTCAACTTGCAAAAGCCCAGTTGCAGAAAGGAATGGTGAAAGAAGCCATTGATTCTTATATCAAAGCAGACGATCCTTCCTCCTACATGGAAGTTGTTCAGGCTGCCAATACAAGTGGTATGACTTCTTACCTTATGTATTGAGACCTCACAAAATGATTAAGCTAAGCATTAAGATATCTGTCTGTTCTGAATTGTAGAAGAGTTGGATACTGCGTGGTTTCCTGTGAAAACTTTTAGTACTCCATCTTAGTCCAGATAAAAAGAGGCTGTATTTTGTGAATTTGTAAGTTCACAAAACTTACAAGTGGGGAAGATAAATTTTCTGTTTTTGAAGTCTCATAAAATCCTGATAATGCTCTAATCTTACAACTTTAAGGAAAAAGAGAATTCTTCTATTCATTTGGTCTTTGATAATACAGAAGTGAAATATTGCACAGTTTACATTTGTCATTATCCATGTTTCCTTGAAAAGGAAATGAGCAATTTTCATTTACTTGGGTGAAAGATAAACTGGGATGTTAGTGTTTGGATATATTTTTTCTTTTTCTATACTTAGGAAACTGGGAAGAACTGGTGAAGTACTTGCAGATGGCCCGTAAGAAGGCTCGAGAGTCCTATGTGGAGACAGAATTGATATTTGCGCTGGCTAAAACAAACCGCCTTGCAGAGTTAGAAGAATTTATCAATGGACCAAATAATGCTCATATCCAACAAGTGGGTTTCCTTTTCAGATTTAAGAAAAACTAGTTGGGCTACTTGATTAGCTTGGTAGGATCAAAACATCATAACTGAAGAATTCCAAGGAAAAATCTACAGGAAAACAAATTATTTCTCAGTGTGAAGGTATGAATATGAAAAGAGGATTAAGCTCACACTAATATCTTACTGAATATGCGTTACCTTTTTTTTCCAGGTTGGTGACCGTTGTTATGATGAAAAAATGTATGATGCTGCTAAGTTGTTGTACAATAATGTTTCCAATTTTGGACGTTTGGCATCTACCCTGGTTCACCTGGGTGAATATCAGGCAGCTGTTGATGGGGCTAGGAAAGCTAACAGTACTCGAACATGGAAAGAGGTAATCTAAACCCAAGTTTGAGTGAAGAATTAAAGAAACGCTCTGTAAACATTAGTTTAAACAACTAGCCATGTTTACATTTGAGTTCACAGAAAGGAAATGTTTATTCTAGGTCTGCTTCGCCTGTGTAGATGGGAAGGAATTCCGTCTTGCTCAGATGTGTGGACTTCATATTGTTGTACACGCAGATGAATTAGAAGAACTTATCAACTACTATCAGGTAATTAACAAGAAACTTTTATATGACCTGAGATCTTTTACCATAGATACTCTTTATCTTTAACTGCACATTTCTCTTGTTCAGGATCGTGGCTATTTTGAAGAGCTGATTACCATGTTGGAAGCAGCACTGGGACTTGAGCGAGCTCACATGGGAATGTTTACTGAATTAGCTATTCTATACTCTAAATTTAAGCCTCAGAAAATGAGGGAGCACCTGGAGCTGTTCTGGTCTAGAGTGAATATTCCCAAGGTAACCAGTCATTGTAACACAGTGAAGCAACTGTGTAGTTAAAACTAATACTTCAAAATATCTTATTCTTTTTAAGGCTGTTAGCTAGACTCATATCTAAAGCAATTAAGTCTTTCTTATGCAGGTGCTAAGAGCTGCAGAACAAGCTCATCTTTGGGCAGAACTGGTGTTTTTGTATGACAAGTATGAAGAATATGATAATGCCATAATTACCATGATGAATCATCCAACTGATGCCTGGAAAGAAGGGCAGTTCAAAGATATCATTACCAAGGTGTGTACTTTCTTCAGAAGATAAAGGATTCAGAAGGAGAAAGCTCATTAGGAAGTAACTGACTTATATATGGATTTTCCCATTATAGGTTGCCAATGTGGAACTATACTACAGAGCAATACAGTTCTATTTAGAATTCAAGCCTCTGTTGTTAAATGATTTGCTGATGGTGCTGTCTCCACGGTTGGATCACACTCGTGCAGTCAATTATTTCAGCAAGGTAAAGTAATAATTTTAAACCAAAGCTTCATAGCAAGGAATTAGGACATATTAGGATAACTTTTGTCCCTGGGACTTCAATAATGTGCTGTATTTGTAACAAACTCTTTATTTTAAAGGTTAAACAGCTACCACTGGTGAAACCATATTTGCGTTCAGTTCAGAACCATAACAACAAATCTGTGAATGAATCATTGAACAACCTCTTTATTACAGAAGAAGATTATCAGGTAAAACCTTTTGATTCTTGCACATAATCTTAAGACTCATAAAGTTACATTTTCCCATTTTTCAAAAACGCCATTATCATTTAGGATTGTAAACAGTAGTTGCTTGCATTCCTAGGATCTAAATTTAGTAAGGTTTCAGGATTGATAAATCTTACTTCTAGTTAAGTGCCAAGTTTTCAGAATTTTGCTCAGATCTTGTATAAGATACTGCTTTTGAAAAAAGATATGATTACTTTATCTCTAACATCTAGATTATAGGTAGAGTCAAAAATGTCTTTGATCACTTAACTAGTTCATAAAATTTATTTGATATTAACTATATTCACCATTTTTCTTGCCTACTGTTTTATTAGTATTTGTATAAACTTTATCTTACGAAGGCTTTCGCATAAGCAAAAGTCAAGTAGAGTGAAGCTTAAGCTCCTTGCCTTTTTTTCTCTCTCTTGATTTTCTTTGAGCCTCCGTGCATGCAGATCTTACTGCTGCCATGCTGAGTTTTATCAGAAGTTTCTCTAGGGAATAAAATCTTGCCCTCCAGGCCAGGCGCGGTGGCTCACACCTGTAATCTCAGCACTTTGGGAAGCCGAGGCGGGCAGATCATGATGTCAGGAGATCGAGACCATCCTGGCTAACACAATAAAACCCCGTCTCTACTAAAATACAAAAAAAATTAGCGGGGTGTGGTGGCACGTGCCTGTAGTCCCAGCTACCTGGCAGGCTGAGGCAGGAGAATCGCTTGAATGCTAGAGGCAGGTTGCAGTGAGCCATGATTGTGTCACCACTGCACTCCAGCCCGGGCAACAGAGGGAGACTCCATCTCAAAAAAGAAAAAAAAAAAACTTGCCCTCCAAATTAGAAATCTCGTCAGTTTCATAGCCGTATGTTAGTCCTTGATACTGAAATATCTTGGAGAAAATGTTATCTTTGGGTAAGGTGAAAAAACACCTTTTGATGCTTGAATCTAGGTGTCATACTACATGTTACCATCTAAGGGGCTCATTGATCGAGGACGGAATATAATGTTAAACAAAATACTGATCTGGCATTTGGATGGCTTTTTTTTTTTAAGGCTCTGCGAACATCAATAGATGCTTATGACAACTTTGACAATATCTCGCTTGCTCAGCGTTTGGAAAAACATGAACTCATTGAGTTCAGGAGAATTGCTGCTTATCTCTTCAAAGGCAACAATCGCTGGAAACAGAGTGTAGAGCTGTGCAAGAAAGACAGCCTTTACAAGGTTGATAAAGTTGCGGGGCGGGGGCTGTTAAACCAGGCCTAAAATGATGTTACAAGTGATTATTTCTATAAATAAAAGTATTGGTTTTGTGAATATGAGAACTGACTTTAAGGCAATTTAAGTTAATGGATTTCTTGATTCTAGGGGCTCTCTTATGTTAAGGTCAAACTTGTTTGGGGGGAAAAAAAGGCCTTTAGCTTATCTGTTCTTTGAAAATTTTAATTTAAATGATACAACTAGGAGGCTTTTTTCCCCCTTGCAAAACCAGATTTATATTGGAAAGGTTCCATTGTTTTTCTTGGTTTACTAGTTTAGTATGTTGGGTCTAATGTTTTTTGACTTTCACTATTTTCTTTGAATAGGATGCAATGCAGTATGCTTCTGAATCTAAAGATACTGAGTTGGCTGAAGAACTCCTGCAGTGGTTTTTGCAGGAAGAAAAAAGAGAGTGCTTTGGAGCTTGTCTGTTTACCTGTTACGATCTTTTAAGGCCAGATGTTGTCCTAGAAACTGCATGGAGGCACAATATCATGGATTTTGCCATGCCCTATTTCATCCAGGTCATGAAGGAATACTTGACAAAGGTAATGACTCTTCTAAGTGTATTCAGAAGTAGTTTTCTTGCAGATATGTAAAATTCTACATGCACATTAATTTTTTTAATTTTTTTTATTTAGTAGAAGTCAGTCATTTAGTCGATCATAAAATATTTCTGTTCTTTTGAAAAATTTTTAATAGCTGATAAATGACACTGATTGGAAGGGGAACTCAAATGTAGCTGTTTACCCTCAGTGTATTTATGATTGTGAAAATAATCTATATTTTGTTTTTTTATTTTAAAAACTATTTGATAAATTTTATTTCAAAGTTGCATTTTTCTCAAACTCAGTTCTTGTAACTCAAATAATCATAACTAGTATTGTAGATTCCCTTTTATTTGCTTGGCTCCTGACTTTAGTGATGTCTATGCCTGTTTCCCCTGGGGAAGCTGCATGTATATTCTTAACATCCTTTTAATCTTCACAATTTTTTTTGATAGTTTAACCCCTGATTTAAAAATATCATAGGAGGTGAACACATTAAACAAGCTGGGGGTCTAATTGCCTTGTAAAATTCACTATTCATCTTAGTGTCCCTTTTTGATGTAAGAATTTACTCACTCTGTCTTCAGCAGTTACTAGCTTTCTCTCTGTAGAACATTTTTAAATGGTTTTAGAGGATCCTTTTTGTCAAAGCAAAAAACATGATTAAAATCAGAGTCTCCCAACTGATTCCTTCAGCCTGCCTGAGTTAAGGCGGGGGTAGGGGGAGTGGGAGCACTACCAACAACCCCTACTACACTGAATTTTTCCTCAGGATATCATTTAATTAGATACCATTGTGTCTGTTTCAAGTTTTTAAAGAATTAACATTTTCTGTATTCAATGTAAGAAAAAACATGTTGCCTTGTCTTAGCCAACATGTTTTAGCCATAGATGAGAATAGCTTCTTAAACATAATGCCAACTTGTGAGACCTGTCTCTAAGCTGCTGTTAACCTAAGTGCTGTAAATTTTACTAGTGATTAAGCTGCTTTCTTTCATACTGTAGCATAAATTCTTCTGCAGTAAGCTTTTGAAGTTACAGAAAAATCTAAATTTTGCTTCCAGTATGCTCTTTATTTTCACTTCTCTCATACCTTTTTAGTGGTTAGATGTTTCTTCCCTAAACCTTTGTTGCTGATTCTACCTTTTTATGCTCAATATGGAATTTGATTTTTTTTCTAAGCTGCACCTTCTGAATTCCTTTGCAGGTTGATGCAATAAAGGAAAAGGTGAAAGTTGATTCTTTTCCATCTTTAAGTCTGGAGAACTAAGTCTAAGGAATTTGCATGATTTTTTTCCTTCCTTTTCTACACTGCTGCTGCTGCTTTTTCCCCCCAATAAATTTTCACTAAAGCCTCTGCAAGTCCCTTGAAACATAACTTTAATAGAACTGTAGGACATTAGTAGACGTTTGCTACTAATCGGCTAATAGGCTTTAGGAAGGGCAGGAGGCTAATCAGTAGTTGGTTCACAGTCTCTCTTAAATATATTATGAAAAACTGAGTATGGTGAGTTTCCATATTAATTCCAAAGTAACAGGAAATTTCTCTTCCCTGTCAGGGTATCTGGACCCTAATAGGACTATCATAATACTTGAAGTAAATTAAAACAGCCTCTGGTTTTACTTTGTGAGCTTGCCTGACAGTTGTTGAATTTATATATGTATATACATGCCCTAAAAGGCTTTTTGGGGTTTTTTTTTTTTTTGGTATTGAAGGACTGTGATCCAGTTTCTGATCTCTTGATTCTTACTAATTTTTTGCTGAAAGTAGATACAAGAGATACTAGCTGCTTCCGAAGAGACTTTCCTCATGTTTCTCCAGGTGTCCAGTTCTTATGGTGCTAGTCCATTTTTAAGAGGAATCAAAACCTTTTTAATCACGAGAGCCAAGCTTGCTATAATTGTTGCTAAGCAACATGAATTACTTTTAACAAAGTATTAACTTCTACTTTCTGTAATAAGGCATACCACTGAAGCTACCTAAAATTTGCTCTCCTATTTATCAGTTGGCTTGTCCAAGGAGGTCAAATTCAGGCACCTTTTGGTTGCTGCTTCCTTCATTGGCTTGTCTCCATCCCAATATGAATGAAACAAACTGTTATCAAATTGTGGTTAGAAAAGGGTGGGAAGGTAAAGGAGAGTTGAAACAAATTGAAAAGAATTTGGGTGGGGGACAATGCCTTGGGATTATGTTGAACCAAACTGGAGTCACCACTGGAACTTAGGGCAAACCTGAGTAAAATGCATTGTGTGTGAGACCCTTCAGCAGCTAGTAAGCAAGGCAGTTAGAAAGCGTGTGTGTGAAAAACAGGTAATTGAACTGCAGTGTTATGCATTGTTTTAAATGGAGCATGTACAACAGTCATTGCAATTACATCATACTATTTTTGAAACTCTTATAGCATTGCTGTGGGCTGTGTGTGTTTCTTGAGAGCCTGTATAGCAAGTCATCTTCAGATCTCACTTCTTGCTTCAGTACTTTTGCCTTTTTTTCATGCACACATACACCAAAATAACTGACTGCATGTTACTTTTCCTCTGCAGCATATTGCAGTCTTTGTGGAAAAGCCTTTTACATTTTAGTGAATTTTCAGTAGTACAGATGGAACTGAATTCATTGACATGCTTACCTGTAATTTTTCTTTTTAAATCCAAGGATCAGAAACTTTTGTTACAGCTCTTAACAAAAGCTTGTGTTCTTAAAAGCCTTCTATGCTTTTTTTTTTTTTTTTTTTTTTTTTGTGAACAATCTAAATTGGATCAGTGGAAACAAAAATCGAAAGTCCCTGTGCCAGAGGCTGTCCCATCATATAGAAGAATCAGAATTTTTTGCTTAGCTTGATGCTATTCCTTCAGAATTCTTCCCCCTATGCCCAGACTTCCTATGTGTACGCCAGGGCATTGTGATATTGCCAGCTCTTCTAAGTCTTCCATGTGCTTCTCTAATAGGACTTCTGTGTTCAACATCTGATTCAGGCCTTAACTTTTAAACACATGTTCACTTCAGATTCTTTTCCTCGAAAGTCAGGAAATGTATTATGCAGTGGTGGCTTTTTGGTTGTTTCATTTTTCTTCTTAGAAGTTACTAATGTACAGACATCCATGTATTTTTCTTTATAACTTCTATAGCTCATTCTTGAATACTGGTTAGTTAGCAAAACCCCATCTGACCCTTGATGGCACAGAGCTGTGCTTTAAGTTCTATAAATGTAATAATTTTTGTTCTAAGTGTGGATGCCAAAAAATGGGCATTTCATCTGGTACTTATACTACATAATAGTCTTTAATTTGGTATTAGGGTAATTTGTAACACATCATTTAGACTATAAAATAGGATAATAGTGTATAGAAGTAAACTAATCCATCTTCCTAGGCTAGAAAAACCACATTTCATCTGAAGGAGCCTACTTAGGCTTACTTTTCTCAAACTTTCAGTTCCCTAACAAATTAAGATGGATTAGACTCATATTTGTGGTATTTAATATGAAACAATTAAATGTAAAACAGTGCCCTAACCTTAATGGCCTATGCAAAGACTGAAAGATACTTTTTTAATAGTTTCAAATAGAAATGAGGTGCTGCCTGAATCTTTTTAGGACCTGGATTTTACAAACTTTTCCACTGAAGTTTTTTTTTTTTTTTGAAGTGATTTTCCACAATTTGCCTTTTTGAAGAACATGCGGTGAACATTCAGAAAGTGTTCCCCCCTGTACTTTGGTCCCCCTGTCTCATCCAGCACATTTATGACCTTGAAAACCACCAGTAATAGATAACATTGAGGTTTGAAATTTAGTTTTACTTAGCTATAATGATAGACCAAGTATAAGGCTTTGGTTGAGAGACCAGCTTTTAAATATTGAAAGACAAATATAGTGTAAAAGGCAATGGAATTTGTATAGTGAAGGAGATTCTCTAGTCCCAGTGTTGTAATGTCACTTCTATTTCATTACAGAATTACAGAAGCAAATCATGTTAGGCCTAGAAGAAACTGCAGATCATTTTGTTCAACCTTCTCATTATACAGAGAAGGAAATTTGAGGGCCAGTGCAATGATTTGCCAAGGTCACACAACTAGTCAGTGGAAGGATCTAGGCATTCTAATTCCTTTCTTTCACTAATACATTTGGACTGCTCTACAGAATTACTTCTGATACTATCCACTTTGAAGAGTAGTTAGCATATAGTAGCCATTTACTTTTGGCTTAATTAAAAGCGAACATTTTTGGGACAAAATCAGGCTTTACTGATTACTTCTTAGATAACAGAGCACACACAGTATTAAACATGCAGCCTTTCTTTATACAAAAAGATTGAATATGGAGCCACTTGAATCTTAAACTTCAGTCTGCAGCTATAACCAATATCATCAGAAGCTATACACAACTGGCAAAAAAACAGCTTATTGTGCACAAGTACTTGTCCAGTCACTAGGCTCATTTAACTTTTTTGAATACCATTTCCTCTGGGGAGGGAAGTATTGCCAGACCATGAGTTCATTATTACCTCTGATCAGTTTTAAACTTCATTTGAAAAGTGGTTCCTTCTCGTTTTCTCCCTCCCTCAGGCTGCATCCTAGCATGCCCAGTTTTAGTCTGGCGTGAGCTTTTATGGCATTTATAAATCCCTCCTTCCTGAGGGTTTATAATGACAGTGCTGAAAACCACCTGGACTGAAGTATGAACATTGCCATTGAATTTAAGGGGGCCTGAGAATGTTCTTTCTAGTCTGTTTTATTTTGACAGAATTTAACATACTAAGGCTTTTCCACTTTCTGCCATAAACCTAGGTTTATAATACTTTTGGGGTGCTAATTAACATGATGTGTTTTTCTCCAGGTGGATAAATTAGATGCTTCAGAATCACTGAGAAAAGAAGAAGAACAAGCTACAGAGACACAACCCATTGTTTATGGTAATCTCTCTCTGTAACCTCAAAAAATTCATTAGATAAGTATTTAATTATTTAGAGACTGTGCCTCAAAATAGAATACAACAAGCTTCTAAAGTGCAGAAGGCTTGCTAAGAAATACTGCTTTCTATAATTTTTTTTTCTGAGAAGTCGTAAAGCAGGTGTTGATATTATTCACTAAAATAATCCTAAATACAAGAAAACTCAAAAACAGTCATTTAAGATCATAACATGAATCTTTCCTATCATCTGGTCCCTCATTCGTTACCTGCTCATAAATTAGTGAAAAAGAAATACTGATGAATTCCATTTTCAAAAGAGCAAAAGATGAGAGAATATGCCCAGGCTGTCTTTAGTATGCTTTACATAAAGAATACATCCTCATTTTAAATTCTAACTGGGGCAGATAACTGGGTAGTGTCCATCTGAGAACTTTCCAGAGAGATAGGATCTTCAAACTCTCAAGTGAATATTTTAAGACAGTTTCATGTCTTCTTAAACCTACATATCTGAATTACTGCCCCTTTCCATTTCATAGTTGGTAAACAGATTCATTTGAACAATCACTTTGAAGAGTATAGGTAGAAGCACAGTAACCAGGTGAGGGAACATAAAAATATGACCATTATGGCTGGGCGCGGTGGCTCACGCCTGTAATCCCAGCACTTTGGAAGGTTGAGGCGGGCAGATCACAAGGTCAGGAGATCGAGACCATCCTGGCTAACACGGTGAAACCCCGTTTCTACTAAAAATACAAAAGATTAGCCAGGCGTGGTGGCACATGCCTGTAGTCCCAGCTACTTGGGAGGCTGAGGCAGGAGAATTGCTTGAACCTGGGAGGCAAAGGCTGCAGTGAGCTGAAATGGCGCCACTGCACTCCAGCCTGGGCGACAGAGTGTGACTCAGTCTCAAAAAATAATAATAAAATAAAATAAATAAAATTGGTTTCCAAAATTAATTTGTTTGCTAAATACAGCTTTGGTTGTTAACCACAAAAAGCAAAGACATGAAGTCCTTTGTGTAGGAGAAATCTTGATCTAGGTTTACACTGTAGTGGGAGGTTAAGAATATTTGTTTTGTAGGGGTAGAGAGGTGTTACTTGCTTTCCATCTCTAAGCCAAGTTCTCTACAGGTCATGTTTTCTGTATATGACCAACAACGATTTAAACTTTGTAAGAAAGAATGTCAACATAGTATTTGATAGAGGGTGTATGTTCTAATGTATTTCACACCTAAAGAATGTCTGAATGTGTCTTTTTTCCGCCCCCCCAAGACAGCGTCTTGCTCTGTCACCCAGGCTGGAGTGCAGTGGCGTTATCTCGGCTCACTGCAACCTCCTGGGTTCAAGTGATTCTCCTGCCTCAGCGTGCTGAGTAGCTGGGATTATAGGCGCACACCACCACGTCCAGCTAATTTTTTTTGTATTTTTAGTAGAGACGGGGTTTCACCTATTGGCCAGACTGGTGTCGAACTCCTGACCTCATGATCCACCCTCCTCTGCCTCCCAAAGTGCTGGGATTACAGGCATGAGCCACTGCGCCTGGCCCAAATGTGTCTTAGTTTTAATTGCTGTCTCTAAATTAGTACTGGATCATCTATAAATGAATTTGGTTTCATTGCCATTTAGACATGTTTAAATCAGAAATTTACCTGTAAAAGTTATGTTAATAACATGTCATTTAGGCCAAGCATGGTGGCTTACACCTATAATCCCAGCACTTTGGGAGGGCAAGGTGGGCTAATCACTTGAGCAGCCTGGCCAACGTGGCAAAACCCCGTCTCTACTAAAAATACAAAAATTAGCTGGACATGGTGGCACACACCCGTAATCCCAGCTACTCGGGAGGCTGAGGCACGAGAATCGCTTGAACCCAGGAGGCGGAGGTTGCAGTGAGCCGAGATTGCACAACTGCACTCCAGCCTGGGCAACACAGCAAGATTCTGTCTTTGAAGAAAAAAAAAAAGTCTTTTTAAAAACTAAGTTTTCTTGTGCTAATTTTATTGTGTCATTTAGTGTAATATGCATGTAGGTATGTGTCAGGTATACAGTGTCAGGCATATTGTGTTCAGTCATAAGCAGTTCTGGCCTTTGGCCCTGCACTATTTGTTGGCTTTTTAGGTAGGAACCTTCTTAGAGTAAGACTGTCCTCCCAAAATTGTAGCAATCAAATGTGCCCCCCATACACAACTCATTCGAGGGTGAGATTATGTTGCTAGAGTGGAGGAGATTGGGGTGTTCTAAATGCTAACAGTCTGTCCTGCCTCCTCACCCTGCCCCTGCTCCTTTTCATTTTCTTCTACTTTAGGTCAGCCCCAGTTGATGCTGACAGCAGGACCCAGTGTTGCCGTCCCTCCCCAGGCACCTTTTGGTTATGGTTATACCGCACCACCGTATGGACAGCCACAGCCTGGCTTTGGGTACAGCATGTGAGATGAAAAGCTGATCCTGTAGTCACCTATTTTCGTACTGAAACATCGTCTCTACCCACTTCTCTGTTTATAATGGGGGAAACAGGCAACGTGTTCTTGTAACCTTTATTTCATGAAGGACTCCTTTTTGTTTCTAACTATAAACTTGGATCACCTATGTTAAAACCTTATTTCACATTCCACATCATTTTAGAATTTATTTTCGAAGGGGAATAGTTTCAATGTTTTATTCACTTGGGCTTTTTTTCTTCCCCCTCATTCTTTAAGGAACTGCTTAATATTTAATCTGTTGTGAAGAATCTGATTTGCACTCTGTAGTGTTTAAAGAAACAAAGAAACTCTAATATTGAATCTCTTAAATTTAGTGTATGTAAACAGCTTACAAATATGTATTGTCTAAATGCATTTAAATCTGTTTTATTCAAAGAAAAGCTAAAGCAAAAATACTGGCATATGACCATGCAAGACTGTCAGTGCCAACAAAGACAACACTAATCAGCACATCCTACACTGGATTGCAGTGCTTTCCAGATTATTTGAAAAATGTTACAGACAACTTGCCTGATTTTTAAATGAGCATAAAAGGCCCTCTAACCTATGCAGGTTTCCCCATTATGCATATAGAAAATGCTAGTATGTTTTGCTCACTTCATATGTAACAGGTGCCCTTATGTTGTGCTGTATCCTGTGCTTTTTCTGTGGGACCATTCCATTCAGGAGCAAAGAGCACCATGATTCCAATCTTGTGTGTGTTTACTAACCCTTCCCTGAGGTTTGTGTATGTTGGATATTGTGGTGTTTTAGATCACTGAGTGTACAGAAGAGAGAAATTCAAACAAAATATTGCTGTTATTCAGTTTTGTTTGTGGAATTTGAAATTACTCAAGTTTAAAATAAATTACTGGACTGTGGAAATAACATAGATTTGAAGTTTTAATTAAATATCACCCAAACCAAAAGAACTTAATTAAATACCACTCAAACCAAAAGAACAGTAGTTTTTGTAGTTTTATATTGGATACTGAGGCATTACAGGGAGGCATGAAAGGAAGAGGAATGAGGATTGAGACATGTGAAGACATTATGCATTTTATCAATGTGCATTCCTGTATTTCAGTAAGGTACATGCAGTAGTCTAAAGAACCAGAGTCATTACTCTAGTGGCTTACATTTACTGTCTCCAACATTTTAGCCAAGTGACACTTGAGGTTTTTATCTAGGCATTTCACTTAAATGAACAAATCATGGCTGTTGTATTAACCTGAAATAAAATATATTTAAACATGTAGTTAACATGCGCTTTCTCATCATGAATTATAAAGGTGCCCAAATTATGGGTATCTTAAGTTGATTTTTTTTGAAAAATTGGTTGTGTGAATCTAGCTCTTGCTTATGGCTGAGAATGTTCCTAAAGTTCATTTCACTATCCCTTAATCCTCAATAGCTACACATAACCCCTCGCCTAGTGTTGCACTGCTTTACAACTCTTAGGCAAATTACCTACCATAAGCTCCACAGAAGAGTTTTTTAAAACTTAAAATCCCTGTCCCACCAGCTGTGGTGACTCACGCCTTTAATCCCAGCACTTTGGGAGGTTGAGGCAGGCAGATTGCTTGAGGCCAGGAGTTCGAGACAAGCCTGACCAACATGGTGAAACTCCATCTCTACTAAAAATAAAATACCAGCCAGGCATGCTCTACTAAAAATAAAAAATCAGCCAGGTGTGAAGGTACACGCCTGTAAGATCCCAGCTACTACTCAGGAGGCAGGAGGCTGAGGCATGAGAATCACTTGAACCTGGGAGGCAAAGGTTGTAGTGAGCCGAGATCACATCATTGCACTCCAGCCTGGGTGACAGAACGAGACTCTTGTCTCAAAAAATAAAAAAACCTATTTAGTTTCATCCAGGACATTAAGTGAAAGTGTTTAATGTGAGTGCAGGTCAGTAAAGAATACAATGGTGCCCCTGCTTTGATATGTGGGAGGTGCCATCAGTTTTCCCCACCACTGCTTTTGTACCATCAGTGCAAATAACACAGAGAAAAAAAAAGTAATAGTATTATGAAAAGATTTTTGACTCTGTGGAGACCCCATGGGTTCTGCAGAGTATACTTTGAAGACTATAAGATTATGAGTTCTATAAAATACTAAGTACAGATGAATTAGAAAACAAGCATATATCCACAATTACCAGAATTTTCATAATGTTCCTTTTAGTAGATATGCCATCACTGATCAGTTACTTAGCCACTCCATGCCATCCTGTTGGGAATGCCACTATCTTTGAATTTGGAGCCATCAGTCTATCTGAGGCAAACCTCAGAAATTACCTGAGCCAGAATCATGCACTTAGCACTGAGTTCAACTCAGTCCTAACGTTGCATTTTGTTGCATCACTTCTGGAGCCAGTAAACATTCTGTTTAGAAATAGTTGCTATTGTGGCATCATTCACAGTTGCAATTTTTCTCCTGTGCTGTCGCATGCCTGTGCGAAGTGTATGAAATGAATCAAATATTAGAACTTTCAAGACTGTCTTTAGTGTTCTGCCCACAATATTGCACCAATGACCTTAGACTTTGAGATTGTGCTATAATGCTGCTTATATTGCAGTTAACCATAGAGAGGTACAGCCACTTAAAATGGGCCTATTATCAAAATTCTCCCTGGTATCAGTACCGTTCTTGGGGATACACTGATTTTAGAAATTACTGTCAGTATCCTCCTAAAAGAAGGCTTTAAAGAAAAATAGTTTCTAACAAGATGACTATCAGGAAGCTCTGTGGCTTGGGGAGTTGGGACCCTCTGCCTCATATTCTAGGTAACTGGTATAACAGTAATTATTAGGATTGTATCAAGTATATCTAAAGATTAAAAGGTAAAAAAGGCACCCTTAACTGTCTAGTTCTTTAAGTTCTAGGAAAAAAAAAACTAGCAGGGATGACAAACTACATTCACTTTACAGTTACCATAAATTCTTACTCGGGCCCACCCACTTCCATCTGTAAGGTCGATAAGGTTACTCCACAAGTTTCAATGGCTTCACTGTTACAAGAAAGGGGGGAAATGAGAACCTTTAATAGGCTGTGATTTACAACCACTGCTGATAACCTTTGGCCAGTGTGGGTCAGGGAAGGTGAATATGAAACACTGCACAGCAGGTTGTATCAATGCTGTAAAACCTCAACCTTTAGACAAAAATTCAAACAGGTTATAAACCATGGGACTCCATTGAGGATGGCCGTATCTATTAATAAAGTAGGCTATCAGTCACCCAAAAAGTGACAGCAGGGGAACAAACTGCAGCTTGCCTCTAGTGGGAATACCCTTGAACCTCGACCTCCAGGGGGACATAGTCTCGGGGAAGGGCTACCAACACACAAAGGGACTTAACCATGTATAGGGGAATGCTGTTTCCTCCCTTTTAATCCAATTGTATTGACCTGTTTCTCTCATCTTAAATATTTGTTTCAGCCTCTCACTTGAACCACCAAGACCATTTAACCAACTACTCTTTTTAAGCCCAAGATGACAACTGCCAACCATAGAACATGGGAATAGGTTTTATTTTCATCTTAAGAACATTTAAATTGGGTGAAGAAATTCAGCTTTTGTTAGAATCTGACAGGCTTCAAACACCTGTGATGGAAGGGTTACTGTCATATCAAAGTCCACCTAGTAAAGTTTTAGGTGGCCAGTGACTTTGTCAATTAGGTCTGCTGGTCCTGGCCCAATCCCTAGGACAGTTTGAGAGCCTGGTGCAATCTGAGTACGTCCAGCATCTTGAATTAAACTTACAGTCAATCCCAGCATTTTCGCATGGGCCAATAATGCAATCAGGGTTTCTTCATCAGGAGCTTTGACCACCACCTTGGGCTGGCCACAGTATTCCCATTGCTTGAGCATTTCAGGATTTCTTCTTTGAATCTGCTTGTAGGCTGAAACAGCAGCATGAGAGCACTGGGCAGCCACTTTCCCTTTTCCCATCTTTAAGTCATTTCGAACCACAAGAATCATCTTGTACTCCCCACTCTCTCCCAAGATGCTTGCTTCACTTTCAGTATGTGTGTGTGTCTTGCTCGTCTTGCTTTTGGGGAGCATCCCAAAGCGTACTCGGAGGCTCCAGCCCAGACACACGCCACAAGCAACTCCAATAGCCAAGCCGAGTGCACTGGGATGAGCCAAATATTCCATAACCAAGGATTTGGAGGGCATCTTAAGGGAAAGGAAAACAGTTATCACTATCCGGCAGTAACAACTTACAGAGGTATAGGCTTATCAGAGAAACATTTTGACTATACACTTAATGAGGTCATCCAGAAAAAAAGGCAAAACACATCTTGGATCTTATGCCTGTGCCCTGTTTCCAACACCCCCTTGCCCACCACCAGTGTACTAGAAAAGATTCAAGCATCCACATGAAACAGTTTAGGTCATTTTGAAACTTGATGTAAACAAAGTTGCATAAAGTTCAAAAACTCTATTCCTCAGTCTTCCCTTAGTCTTGTGGAGATGTTCTGTTTTACCAAGATGCCTAAGATTTAAAGAAACCAAAAATAACGCACCCCTTTCCTGGAATATAGTGCTAATCTGTGTTTTCACAATGCTCTGGGTTCTCAATGGAGATGGTATCAAATAAGTTACCCTCAGAAGAACCTCACTGTCACATTAATGGGCCTGGAGTGAGATGCTGAAATTTACTAAGCCTGAGCAAGGATGCTAAAAATCTTACAAAAGGAAAAGTTGTCCCATTGGACATTAGTGCAGCTGAAAAACTTAATAGATGAGAACTCAACATCATTTTACATAAGAACACAAAATATTTTTTGCATAGTTTTACTATGTATAGGTGCTCCTCAATTTCCCATGGGGTTATATCCCAATTAATTGAAAATATCGTAAGCCAAAAATGCATTTAATACACCCTACAGAACATCATGACTTAGCCTAGCCTACCTTAAATGTGCTCAGAACACTTACATAAGCCTACAGTTGGACAAAAGTCATCTAACACAAGACTATGTTATAATAGTGTTGAATATCTCCTGTAATTTATTGAATACTGTACTGAAAGTGGAAAACAGAATGGTTGTATGGGTACTCACCATTAATGTACACAGCTGAAAGCACAGTGGTCCTGAAAAATGTTTGAAGCACTGAAATGAATTAATTGCTGGATGATGGGGATGTAATAGGGTCCTCAATTTCTCTCTCTTCTGATGAACATCGAGAATAGGTGGTAGAAGGCATTGGGACATCAACACTAGTTGACGGTTTAGCAAGCATAGTGTTGTTCTTCAGGAAGACACCAAGTTTTGACTGTACAGCTTGTTTCTTTTCATTATATATTTCTCTGTAGCAAGCAAGAGCATCCTGTATCTGCCTGTCAACTGTGGCGAATCTCTCGTAATTTGACGTCCATTTCTTCTAACATCTGCAGGCCGCTGCTGATAGCAGCAAATGCCTCTGCCAGTTTCTTTGCTGTGAACTTTCTAGGTGCCGTGGGTATAACTTCTTCCACTGCCTCAACTCCTTTACTTCTTTCTTCCTCCAGTGCAATCAGCTCCTTATTGCAAAGATCTTCAGCCACAATTATCCCATGCAGCTGTTCCTTAAAAGCTATGGCACCTTCATTACCAGCACGTGTTGCCTCACCACTGATCTTTACATTGTGAAAATTATGACGCCTTTTGAAGTGCTGGAACCATCCATGACTTGCTTTAAATATTTATGTATATGTAGACTCATTGGCACGGTCTTTTAGCATATTAAAAAGACTTCTTGCCTTAGCCTGGATCATCAGTAGGCTGAGTGGTATGCGCTTCTGTACCTGGTCTTCCATCCACATAACAAGTAATTTTTCCATATCATCAATTGGTCCAGCCCTTTTCTTTGTGATGACAGTGGATTTAACTGATGCTGATGATTTCGCTGCATCACTGATTCACTTCTTATCCTTTAAGATGGTTGAAATCGTGGATTGCGAAAGTCCTAACTCACATGCAATGGCCATTACTGGCTTGCCACCTTCATGCTGGGCAATTATCTTGAGTTTCGTTTCAAGAGTAATTGCCTTCCTCTTCTTTATCTCACCAGAAACAGGAGACACTGATGGTCATTTTGTAGACATGATGGAATGTGAAAACACAAAACACAATATCCAAAAAAGCTGACAACACAGTACACAGTAGAGGATGGGTTGTTCACTCCCGTGATCACATGGGTGACTGGGAGCTGTGGCTCGCTGCCACTGCCCAGCATCACAAGAGTGTACTGTACCACATTATCACTAGGCCAGGAAAAGATCAAAATGCAAAACCTTAAGTACAGTTTCTACTGAATGGGTATCGCTTTCACACCATCCTAAAGTCGAAAATTCTTAAGTCGGAGACTGTCCATACTGAATTTTCCAGAAGTGTAACCATCATAAAACAAAGGAATGTCATTCTTTATTATTTTAGAAAATGCTGCTACTTCGGCAAAGCTGTTCATAATATTTGAGTCACCAATAAAACACTTGCATCAGTCTACAAATGAGGCTGCTGGATTCACAGTGCTTCTATGTAGAGGTGCAAGCAACTATCAGTTTCTTTTTCTAGTGGACTATTATCTAAGCATTTATAAACATGGGGCCACTATATTTGTAATGAACTGTATTTGTAATGTAAAGTGGTGCCCTTGGAATTGTGCAGTGCATGCATGACTGACATAGATGACAGCCCTGGAAGTACTTATAAATTTCCTTTATGTTCTTTAAAGTGAGGGCATTATATTAACATTCTTTCCACTAATTTTAACATAAAAGGGGTTATTGTCTTTGGTGGGGCAGAAATTCGTTTGAGGTGGGGTCAAGAGACAGAGCAAAAAGAAAAAGCAATGGATATAAGGTGACAAAGAAAAGCAATTTTTTTTTTCTCCTAAGAAGAAAGGATGAGCATATTTAAATGTTAATGGGATGGAGCCAGAAGGCAGGCAGGTAAATGCTCAAGATAGAGAAAGCCTTTATAAAGGGATTTGACCTTGGAAAGGAAAAAGGACACCTTTCCCAATTTGAGTTTTAAATCAGGTAGGTCCATGGATTTGAAGGCAGGAAAGTATTCTCCCGGAGGGAAGGTGCTCAGACAGAAGTTCAAATGGAGTAGAGAAGAGAAAGGCTGAAATAAAAGGTGTGGCAAAATATGGCAGGATTGCAGAGGAATATTGAAAGCATGGTTAAGATAAATGATGACTTTTTAATAGCAACATACTATTTGTGATTTTCTCCAGTAGTACTTAGAAGCCAAAAGACTAATAATCACTTCCTCCAAACATACAAACTAACTCCATCCACACTCATCCTTTGCTCTCCCCTCCTACTGGAATGGTAGTTGGATGTATCTGAGTTTAAATTATGCCAGGAGCAAGCCCCAAGACACAATGGTACAAGGGAATTTAGGATGAGGGTAAGAAAGAATGTTTGACATGATAGACCATGCAACCTGTGTTATTACATTTTTCTCTTTTGGCCTACCTGATAAAAAGCAACCTGTATTATCAAAGACTGATTTATGGACAACAAAGTGATGGATGCTATTTATCTAGACATGCTGTTGAAGAACAGGCGTGATGAAAGTAAGCTGGAAAGACTTAGAGCGATGCATGGGGTTTTGATTTTGGAGATGAATGATTACAAAGAGATACAAAGCCCAGAGCACAGCTATAGGAATGGGTATCTGAAATAGAAGTGTGACTACTTTCTACTTTCTCAATTCTTTTAGTTTTATGATATACTGCTTCCCTTCCACAAATACTGATTGACCTTGTTCTAGGGTCTAAGGGGTACAGGAGTGCACAAAGCAGAAAAAGTCCATTCCTTAATGAAGCTTACACTTTAGCAATAGTTTTGAAATGGTCCAATCCCAATTTTGAATTTCTTTCATTCTGTTTTAAAACTGTGGTTTTTGTTTGTTTGTTTTTGAGACAGAGTCTTGCTCTGTCGCCCAGGCTAGAGTGCAGTGGCGCAATCTCAGCTCATTGCCAGCTCCGCCTCCCAGGTTCATGCCATTCTCCTGCCTCAGCCTCCCAAGTAGCTGGGACTACAGGCGCCCGCCACCACACCCAGCTAATTTTAATTTTTTTTTGTACTTTTAGTAGAGACGGGGTTTCACCATGTCAGCCAGGATGGTCTCAATCTCCTGACCTCGTGATCCGCCCGCCTCAGCCTCCCAAAGTGCTGGGATTACAGGCGTGAGCCACCAGGCCTGGCCAAAACTTTGCTTTTATAGCTCAAAATTTCCACAATACTTTGACATGTATTGTGTTATTTGTTCCACTGAGAAGTGAGGATTACTGCCATATCAAAAATGAAGAAATTCAGACCAAGAGAAGTTAAGTTCAATAAAACAAATGTTTACTGGCTATCTATGTGCCAGCCATGCACCTTGTTAAGCTGAGGATATAGTGATGAATATGGGCCACTGTCAGCTGTTCACAGATGAGTAGTGAAGACAAATACTTAAGACTGGTAAATGTTACAAAAAGGTGTTCGATAGTCCCATCAGGGGTGAGATGGGAGGCAGTGACATCATCAGACATTAGATTCTCATAAGAAGTACACAACAGAGATCTCTCACATGGGTAGTTCACAACAGGGTTCACACTCACATGAGAATCTAATGCTGTCGCTAATCAGATGGAACTCAGGAGGTAATGTGAACAATGAGGAGCGGCTGCAAATACAGATAAAACTTCACTCACTTGCCCACCGCTCACCTCCTGCTGTGCGGCCCAGTTCCTAACAGGCCACAGGGATGCCTGTTCTAAAAGATACCTGCCTTCAATGTAAAGAATGAACTAGAAGTTGGCAATAGATACAGGGAGATCATTTCAGAGGCTGCTATAATGTAGTAATAGTTAACATTTATTAAGTGTTTTGCTACACACTGGCTAAACACTCTATAGCAACTGTCTTCTTTAATGCACCCAACAGCACTTCAAGGTAAACAGAGCTGGTCATGGACTTACTATAGTTTCGCTTAAGCTTTCTGACTTTACAATGGTTCAAAAGCAATACATATTCAGTAGAAACTTCACCCATACAAACATTCTGGTTTTCACCTTCAGTACAGTATTTAACGAATTACATGAAATATTCAACATTTGTAGACCTTATGTTAGATGATTGTGCCCTATTGTACGCTAATAAATTAAGTGTTCTGAGCATGTTTAAGGTAGGTTAGGCTAAACTACCATGTTTGGTAGGTTTGGTGTATTACATTTATTTCCAACGTATATTTCGTTTTCTAAGAGACAGGGTTTCACTCTTTTGTCCAAGCTGGAATACAGTGAAGTGATCATAGCTCACTGCAGCCTCGAACTCCTGAGCTCAAGCAATCCTCGCACTTCAACCTCCCCAGTAGCTGGGACTACAAGCACATACCAGCACACCCTGCTAATTTAAAAAAAAAATTTTTTTAAGAGACAGGGGTTTCATTATTTTGCCCAAGCTGGTCTCGAACTCTTGGCCTCATTTAATCCTCCCACCTCAGCCTCCCATGTAGCTGGGTTTACAGGCATGAGCCATTGTGCCTGGCTCTCAATTTATGGTACTTTCAATTTATGATGGGTTTATCAGGATATAACCCCACCCTAAGTTGAGGAGCATCTATATATATAATTATGATCCCCATTTTTCAGATGTAGAAAAATGAGGTACACAAGTTATAGCTTGCCTAGCTCTTAAGTGGTCGCCTTAATACAGAGCCCTTGTTTTTTCTTTTTGAGACAGAGTCTTGTTCTTGTCGCCCAAGCTGGAGTGCAATGGCACCATCTCGGCTCACTACAACCTCCGCCTCCCGGGTTCAAGCGATTCTCCTGCCTCAGCCTCCCAAATAGCTGGGATTACAGACACCCGCCACCACGCTCAGTTAATTGTTTGTATTTTTAGTAGAGATGGGGTTTCACCATGTTGGCCAGGCTGGTCTCAAACTCCTGATCTCAGGAGATCCACCCACCTCGGCCTCCCAAAGTGCTGGGATTACAGGTGTGAGCCACCGTGCCCTGCAGAGCCCTTGTTCTTTTTTTTTTTCTTTTTTTGGAGATGGAGTCTCGCTCTGTTGCCAGGCTGGAGTGCAGTGGTGCAATCTTGGTTCACTGCAACCTTCGCCTCTGGGGTTCAAGCGATTCTCCTGCCTCAGCCTCCCAAGTAGCTGAGAACTTGAGGTGCGTGCCACTAGCCTGGCTAATTTTTGTATTTTTAGTAGAGATGGGGTTTCACCATGTTGGCCAGGCTAGTCTTGAGCTCCTGACCTCAGATGATCCACCCACCTCGACCTCCCAAAGTGCTGGGATTACAGGCGTGAGCCACCATGCCCTGCCGAGCCCTTGTTCTTAACATTACTATATCAGGCCTCTCCCAGCAGTCTAGATGAGATGATGGTCATTTAGACAACAGTAGTGAGAATGAGAAAGAAAAAAGTGTGT